CCGTGGAGCGGCCTCCCTTGTGATATTAAAGGTTTTGGAAAGGGCACCGCTATCCATGCTAGGCTCGTCTAGTACCAGCAACCAGCCATTCTTTAGGGTAAGAAGCCGGGTAACATAATATATAACACAAAATAATTATAATTTATAGTAATTAAATACAAGTTATTACTTATTAAGGTTAACTTTATTACAATAGAGGTGCCCGTTATTCTAGTGCATACAGCTATGAAGGTCACTTAGCAGTTAAAACCATTTTTAACTGGTATTGGCAGTGGCGAGTTAGATTCAATATCATGTACACTTGTGTGTTTTCAACGGTAATAAGCATAATTTCTTGTTTTGGTCAGTGTAGTTTGCAAACATAAGTGTTTTACAGCTTCATTCAGCAGGCAATTATTATATTTCCAAACGTCTCATAATTATGCAGTCAATCAATTATCGCTCGGCGACTACAACTGCCAGCCTATTTTAATGCAATTTAAATTGGTAATTGGAATTTCCCCCAATATCTTGATTCTTTTTCACGCTATCTCCAAATGGAAACATCTAGAATTCTAAATTTAGCTTTCCGTGAACTATTTTAGCTTTTAAATTGATACACAAATTCATAATCTATTCAGATCTCATTGTCCGGGTTATATAAAATCTGAGGTTTGTTTTATTTCATCGGTGGAAGTGGTTGCTACCGAAGTCAGTTGTTGTTGATTATTCTCAATACATGATCTATTATTATACTGTTCAAGCAAGCTATGAACCGTTGATTAATGAAACAGCATATTTTGTATTGATTTCCATCCTTCTGTAAATGTTAGTCTGAACAAAACTGTGAAATCTTCCGTCAGAACCCGAAATAATTAATCCATTATGTTGCACGCTCTCCAACTCTCCGCACTCGCAAGCTTCTAAATAAAAGTGACTGATAGTTGCACAGAGGATGAATGGTATGGAATAGGGAGGAGGGATACCATAGTGCTCCCAGTGCTGTAAAATACTGCAGTGTATTTCATATCAGTATTCCGGCGGATACACCATGTGCAGTATATGTTATGAATTATATTAGCTTCCCTAAATATTAGATCCCAGTATTAAATGTTGTAGTCTACTCTGTACTTTTCGTCTGGGGTATTTATCGACTGCATTTGTATTTTCTTGACGGTTTTTAAAATGGTCGCGCTGTTATCAACCCTTGCTGACGTTTGTTGACGTGATCGGTCGCCTTCAAGCAAGTGGTTTCTGCTTTGCACAGTTCATATAATATGACCGAGGGAGGGGCGTAATCGTGTTTCATCCGGAGATATAGATCATATAGAATATTGCATAACTTGTTACATTTAACGGTGATATTATATATTGGGCTGGTCCAGTCAAGATAATGTCTAGACTCACGTGTACAACTATTGAGTTTCTCAATCTAATAACGCTACTTTTGTAACCAAATATGGCAATTTTTGGTTTTATTAACAATCCTGTCAGCTTGAAATGAGCCTCCTCATAACCCATCAGTATTAGCGCAAGAGTTTTGAAACATCCTGTATATAAAAATGTTGAAGGTAAATGGCTTTCATCTACGTGACGATTGTATTGTTTTAAGATGGTCAAAGTTAGGACGATTTTGCGAATTGTAACGTTTTTATAGTGTTCTACTAAACTAACTGTACGTCTAGCTCTATTATTTTATAAAATAAATTGTCTAATATAAATATTAGATTTATATGTAGAAATATAGTACTACTTTATTTCTGACTCGTCCCATCATCATTATTCCATATAAAGAACTCTTAGAATGAGTGCCAGTGTGGGGAAGGTGTGTAAACGCTTACAAAGTCTTATGGGACCCCGGGGAAACGCCCTCATTCGTTAATTGTCATTCCTACACAGTAAGCTCATCGTAACTGTCCTTATAGTGCTGTGTGATAATTGCAGCTAAGGAGGCTTCAGTTGAAAGTGTTGCAAGTTTGTATGTGTTTCCAGTGTTGTAAGGGGGTGAATGAAGTAGTTTTTGTGTTCATTAATTTCTGGAGAAAATCTAATTTCATTAAGTCCTGGCTAAATACTTCGACTGATGAATGAGATGGGCGATATGAGTATCTTAATATGCCACCTTGATTATTAAGTTGCAGGAGCACAGCTTGAACCGGTGGTGGTGTGACTTATTATATGTGAAATATAATTTATTATGATAAAAGGTGTTACTAGTAAGAGATCTGGGGTCAACACAATTATTGCATCATTATTGTTCCGCTGAATCTTATTACTCGCCTTACTTTTGTTCTGTTAGTCCTAATTTCGGTCACTCAGAAAAATAGCGTCGTCTCGAAACCTGAAGTGGAAGTAAACAGGCGTTTACGTGGCAGTCAAGTGATAAATATATATCTGCTATACAGCAAGGCAGTTACCAAGTCGAGCCTATTAATCTTCACCCTATTTCCAAGAAATCGAAATCTTGCATTATCTTTTAAGATAGGACAGATTACTAAAATCGTATGTTTCCATCTTGATAAGTGATAACTGCATTAAGTTTTATTTGCGGAACTCTTATATTCTATTATATTCCAGCTTCTTCCTCAACATTCACGCTCTACACTCCTACATTTAGCAGCACTTTAAAGCAGACCTTTACTTTGATAGGGAGTTTAGTTTGTCTAGTTTAAATAGCGTTATCATACTCTTATAGAGTATGATACAGGGAGGGCCAAAAGTCAGTACCCATACGTTGGGTTTCTTATACCTCCGCCGTGTTTTATATTTGAGAGTTGTTGCTTTGCAGATGGCATACTGTACATACTTGTTCAAGGATTCCGTCGCCAAAATTTGAAAATTCGAATATTTTAGACCACGCCCATTCAATATTAAAACACCTATATTGTTCTCTCTGAACATGCTGGACGCCTAAGTTTTTTAGAAACGGTAGATTATTAAATGTTGTATCTGATCTAAAAAAAATGGTGTGAAACGGAGTAGAAATGACGAAGTTATCAAGCATTTTGTGTATCTCGTTAGCAAAATTGCTAACGCTGCAATTTATTGTTCAGACGTCAATCAGAGGAAGTCATTTGAGCTGGTTCATTTCATCAAGAGCTTAGTCCTCAATAGTTTAGTCCCAAAATAGTTTATCAAACGGTCTCATGAGGCTGTCCAGTGTCCGTTACTTTTGTCAAAACACGAAGTTTCTCTGACAAGTTCCATCTTTCTGGTTCCTCATTTAGTGAGATTAGTTGACATTATATCAGATGCACGAATACAGAAAACTAATTCGCAGAAGATGTGATCATAAAAACCAGATCCTTATCTAACTAGATGTAATGAAGTTTTCTAACTGGACCGTGCAATACCCACGGAGCGATTAACAGTCTAAATTAACCACAGTAACGCTGCGTGATGCCAGGCAGAGTGTAGTCTTTAGTGAGATGCGTGTAATATAGCTCAGTGAGTCTTTGATTATTATATATTTTGTTGATCATGACCTGCTGTGCTTTCTCTCTCTTCCGGAGTCTTGGTTATAATATTATATGATTTGTGTTGCTGTTACTTCATTCGAGATGGTGTTTTGGAATTCTGCTCTGCTGGCAGTTGTTAAGATAGCTTTTTCTTATTTTCGTGTATTATTTTATCGATATCAGTTATTGCTCTGCCGTTTTCTGACAAAATTGCCGTAAGACCATTTTTAAAATTCTGAATTCTTAAACTCAAACTTCTTTTTTTGGTGACGAAATATTCCTGGAAACGATCAGAAACGATCAGAACCAATCGCTGGCCCCTAGAAACCCTCGTTTAAAATCGCTTAAAATGCAAAAATGTATTATAAAATATAAATGTGTCAAAAGTGCTTGAAAACCTCGGATTTTTGAGTGGTCTTCAAGCACCTTTGTCAGAAAACGGCAGTGCTGCCGTTTGGATTTGTGTTCCATTCTGTATTGAATATCCCAACTTGTAGTAGCTTGAAAATTCGTATTTTTCTTAGAAATAAGGAAATTACAGTATTGTGTCGGATTACTCTCGACCGGACCGCACCGCTAACCTTCACACAGTCATAATACTCTACTAACATTATTATTATCTCACCTCTAAAATCATTTTTTGGAGCACACGTCGCTAGTAAAGTAAGGAATGTAAGTAGCCTGTCTCCAAGAAACCCTCACATTGTCTCCAAGAAAATCGCATGTTGTCTCAAAGAAAATCGCATGTTGTCTCCAAGAAAATCGCATGTTGTCTCCAAGAAAATCGCATGTTGTCTCCACAAGTACGTTGTCCTCAAAAACAACGTACGTTGTCTCCTATGATCCAGGTTGTAACCGGAGCTGTCTTTGTCCTGTGCACCAGCTGGTGCACACGCTCAGTGAGTCACTTGTTACTGGTCAGCAGAGACTGGTTATTGAGAGAGTTGTTAGTAAACTAGTATAGTCATGTGAACTGTACTTATTGTCCTGATATTGAGTGGGTAACGCTGCCCTTCTCAGCCTCTTGTAACCTCACATCAGCCTCTTATAATCTCTGGGTACAAATAAGCCAGAAATGGAGATTGCCTGTTACTGGTAGATTAGCTGTCAACCTCTGACCAACCAACGAAAACGATTTTAACGGTCAACATAAATGGATTGAATTTGCAAATTGATCATGTCGAGACTGGCATCAAGTTTTAATTTTGATTTTATCATCTTGTCAAACTTTAATCTAATAATAATAAGATATTCATATGTAATACGTTTAGTTTGACTGTCAAACGAGTTAACTGTAGCCATGTGCGGCTTCTTCTGTTAATAGATGCGACGTTATTATGTGTTTTTGTACTCTGCTCTAATACACTTTCTAGGGGACACTACACCAGCTTATTATAGTGGATTTTACTTGTGTTTAATCTACAAGTTTTACTCTATTTTATCCGACCTCTAGCTCTGTCTGTTGCTTCGTCGTTTTGGAACTTAGTTTGATTGTCAAATTGAATGAGCCTTTGTTTATGTTACATCATAAATCATTTGTCATACTAATCGCACCGTAGCACGTGTTTGGGGAAGTGTAGAATGTAGCCGCGCGTTCCATTGCACGTGGACGATGTGGTACAATGAGATCTCACTCTCACGATTCGCTGTACGGTCACCGACGTAGACGTTCCAGCACTGTTAGCTTCAAGTCCCTCAATAAGATACCCGGCGATGGAAAACCAGGTATTATAAACTAACAAATCAGGGATTTAGACGTGTCATTAGCGGGTTATTACTTTTGGTTTTGGTTTTAAAGCGGGTCAACGAGATTATATTATAAATGTGTAATTAATAATCCATGGGATTACAAAATTCGTATGTGACGTTCATAAAATTATGTTTATGGGATTTACAATCCACATGGCACATGCAACTGATATTGATATCATGGTAACAATCATAACCATGATATTGATAAATGATATGGTAGTTAGTAGATCTTTATATCCAATACATTCAGCTGATCTGTTAAAAGTAAGCGTAAGATTTAAAACATGTGGTGACGGCACCTCAGGTAAACGAACTGTGCAGTGTGCATCTTTAAACAAATCTAGATTACTGCGATATTGTCTGGGTGTTTGAGTTGTCTTGAGTTCGTTTGTTTGAAATATTTGAAATATTTGTGGTTGGATCTCTTTCCAATCCTCACGGAAAGCATTAGTATTGTAATTTTAGAGTTGTCACCAAGATACCGTGTATTATAGCCCTTCAAGTGTTAGTTAGTTAGTTACACAATACATTACAGCATTAAAACTGACATACAATGACCAAAACATATGGCACCCCACTGTTATACATGTTATAAAATACGCTTTTAAGTAAACTTCCTAGCTCAGTAAGGTCGAACATCAACCCTAACAAACGAGCAGTGTATATTCAGTTAGGAGGGTAAATTAAAAAAATTGTATATATTAATAAATGTGTTATAATAAATTATATATTATAATAAATATATTGTTGGCAAAATGTCAGGTACGTGGTCAATATCAAACTGAAAATCACGAACGGATTAACCAATCACAAAATAACTTGTATATAAAATATATGCACCCTGTGAAATGTATAATTAGATTACCACGGGTTGTGAATGTTAACTGCGGATAACCCAAGACGACATGAAATTTAACACAGTACGAGGCTCGGTTATCTCTCGAACTCGATTTTGATAATTTGAAGTTAAACTTTATCTACTTCAAGTTCCTCTTTATTTTCAATCAGCTCATCCAGACTTCAAATCCAATTTACTCTCGAGTCTGATAAGAAAATGAAGCTAACAGTAATTTTGAGTAGATCATAAATTGGCACTTAGACAGAACCAGACAAAATTAACAAGTCACTGACATGAAGTTTAATTAGCATTAAATTTACCGCAATCAAGAAGATATTGTCCTTTTTAAAATTTGCGTCTCCCTTAATTTTATAGTCAATCGTCCAACAAAATTGGTTACTTTATCATCTCTTATCAAATTAGGGGTCCCCCACTCCAAAGGACCAAAGATTAACATAAATTTATGATAAAATACAACGAGGTATCAAATTCCAAGTCTCCAGAAGGCATGATATAATATTAAGGATTAAGAAACCCTCACTTCTCTGGCTCCTCGTTCTCGATGTTCCATTTCCCATATTTCTGAATATTCATTGTGTTACCTCCTCCGAGAAATTTTGTTTACTTGTTTGTGTTTGATGTGTTGAAAGACTGTTATTCGGCTTGTGAAATGAAATGTATGTTATACGATGGTGTCATTTTGGAGGAATTTTCTGATTATTGGAATTATACAGACCTGTCAGGTAATTTGGGTAGATCATTTACATAATCTAGTAAGAGCGGGTGCTTAAAAACACTATGTACTACTTTAAAATACCTACCAACTTTAAAATTTGGTAACAGGTCATTGGTTCTGGACAAAAGATTAATGCAAATAAAGTTCTGTGAAATTTAAATTCACTCCTCTATTGTATACAGCGCCCCTGTACTATGCACACTTCATATTTCACTACCACCAGTGTACATTGTACCTCATTTGTTTAGTCTTCTTAGTCTTATATAGGATCTAATATGATTCACACTGAGCCGTATGCTGCTTTACATTACATCGCCCCAAATGCGTACGTGATTATGTTTAGCGTCCGGTACTTTGGATTACATCAGTAAATTACAAACAAATAGAACTTGAAGGTTGTTTTCAAACTGCATTGTATCTAGTTTCACAATGATCCTATCTCTTGACTCACCATATTTCTTACTCAATTTAAAAAAAAGTTTTATTTCACATTTCTTTAATCATAAATTGAATAGGAGCGTAGACCACGATTTATTCAACTAAGAATGAACTTTAGGAATATAATGTTCTGTGGTAATTATATAATAAAATATGAGTATTCACATTATGGCAAGTAGTTGATTTTAATGGAACTGAATCAGTTTCCCTAACTCTTGTGTCACAGTAGTTACTATGTCTCATCTTAACACTCTTTGTTTCAGGTATGGAGGGAGGAGAGGCGCCCTCAGTAGCAGATTACTTTGTGGTAGCGGGATTAGACGACTCTGTCACACTTCTTCAGCCCCCCGAATATGTTAGTCCCATTGTTTGAGAGAATATGTCACTCACAAAACTTTTGCCAGATTAGAGAGAAAGCACCGATATTGAAAATGTTGCTGGAATGTATTTTGTATACGCAAATAACCGTAAAAGCTGTCAGATGTCATGATATTTCCCTCTCAAATAACTGTCTGGCTTAAATTAACATTCCATTTTCTCCCCCAGGGTGACATACCACCGATAGTCGATCTAAAAATAGTGCTACCCCTCGAAAATGAGCTGTGTCCTGAAGGGTGGGAATATGTCACACCCTCTCACGCACTTTACCCTGCTAACTTGAACTGGGTCAACCCTGCTCAACTTCCTGTTTATCTGATCTGCAGGAGAGGATATGATCTGAAACCTATATGTGAACTAGAGTGAGTAGAACTTAAAGTTTACATTTTCTTACAATGTTTTCTAATGTATATCGGTGACTTTCCTGCTTTAAAAAAATTAATTCTGTGATAAGTTAGTGGATATTTTATTGGTTAAACATCTGACCCAATTTGTCTCCCAGAGTTCAATTCATCGAGCGGAAAGACAGAGTGAAGCAAGGGTTCGATTATATCAAAACCTCGATAGGCGGAAAACCTGTGTCGCTGAATGGGCACGTGTCACGACCAAACAAACACGTGTACCTGGGGTATACACGAGCCATAACCAACTCCTTCACTGATGGCATTACTGTAATACACCATACCACAAGCAAGAGAGATGACAGTGTAAGTGGTTCACACTTATTTGCGGACAATGTGTGCAGGGGAATACCTCTTACACTTGGTTATATCTCTTACTTCTGGCCTTGAACTAATGATAGGATCTGCAAAGATTCAAGAGAGCATATGTTTACTTTTGCGTTTATGTAACGCGCGGCTACGTTTTCATGATGCAACTTTTGCTCTTTTCGCGCTGTTTTTGACGCGCGTTTCATAGATTGCTGGCGCGCTAGTAAATTTCATGTGTTTTTGTTTACCGACCCAATTGTGTTGAAGATGGGAATTAATGAACTTGCCAACTTGTTTGATGACTTGTGAGGTCATACTTGATGGCTCTTCTGAACAATTAGAAGCTACGATGATCAGATTCTTTAATTGTGTTCGGGTTCCTTGCGTCCGCGAACTGTTGAGTTCAAAGTTGGTAACCATGGAAAATTAACAAATAAACAAACTTTATTTGAACACACGTTCCTTTTTCAGAGACAGGGTTTCAAAAGCATTCGATTACACAAAAGCACGTTTGGTGGGGATACTTTCATCTCCTACAAACTAACGAAATTCTACGCTGTCACGGGAATTTTCAAAGAATCATTATTGGACAGGTAAAATATTTAAATTCTCTGATCACCAAGAAATCATCATACATCTTAAACACATCTTGTACACTTGAAAATAGTTCGGCTCTTGAAATTTTTTTTCACATAAATCAGTCAAGCATAGTACGAGTTTTCATGTATTCTTATCCAGGCATCCGAAAGCTAACAACCCCACATTTCCTCTGGACGAAAAGAACTCGCCAGCTTTTTGTTTACCAATGGGAGTACAAGTGGAGTGGTTTCGCAATAGAGATCAGAAACCAGCACCACAGTACTCCTCATTTGTGTTGACTAATGAGAAGGGGCACAAGGTTCGTCATTATCTTCCTTATTATCCGCGGTCATTTATTTAAAAATCAGACTGGTGCAGGGTCGAAAATACGCTTAGTGATCGATCACATATTATGACCTACCTTACTCGGGAATATTATAGCGGGTTAATTTATGACTGGGAAAATTAATAACCGGGAAAAATATGGCGGACTTTCCCAAAATCCGCCAAATTATCCCGGTCATGTATTTACCGGTGGCCGACCTTTCAAGTTTTTTTTCAGGTCAACAAATTTTCAACCGAAATTTCTGTTTTTGTTACTTGTTAAAGAAGTTATTTCATTTTACAGTTACTGATATTACTCAGAAATAGAAAAAAAGACACGTCTAGTATTTAAAGGAAAATAAATCTATAGCAATAATAAGTCAAATCTTCATTAAAGCGTATTCTCATTCTCATTATCGCTAATGTCCCCTCCATTATCATTATTGATATCCCCCTGCTGCTGACTGTCAAATTCGAAGTTGTATTGTTGTCTTAACAAGACTTTCATTTTGTCCGCTAATGGGGCTACTGCTCTGAAGGTCAGCCGGAGCTTAATTTCCTGCCCACCGCTTGGTATTGGGGAACGTCTTGGCTTTGCATCTTCAACTGCTCCAGTAATCAATCCACCGTGGACCATGAAATAGTGGCACAGTTTACTCACTTCATGGGCAAGAAAAGTGAGAATCACGGTCCACCCTGAAATCTGATTTCTATAACCAAATTGTGATTTGTATAACGAAATTATGGTAGCAACCGCCAATAAAGTTACAGCCCTCCATCCACTGCTTCAAAAGTCTTCTCTAGCACATATGAGACTTCAGGTAAAATATGATGATCACCACCCCCTTGGAACCCCATAATCTGAGTCGGCGGGTTTTTTTATGACTGGTAAAATTTTTGACCGGGAAAATCATGGCGGAATCTTCCAAAACCCACCACTTTATCCCGGTTATAATAATCCCGAGTAAGGTAAACAGGAAACATCTTTGTGGAAATTTTAGACCCCATTTCCTCCGTCAGCTATTTTATTCATATTTAGCAATTCTATAATTATTATCGTAAGCAATTTGATACATCCCATGACAATTTTTACTGACTTTTAACATTTACTTCTTCAGATGTATGGTTCTGCACTCACATTTTACGAACTTTTCATCGGCACTGAAAAGATCCAATCCTTATCAGAAAACTATCCCAAAGACCCTGACCTATTCCCATATGCAACCAAAAGTATTTGCATCCTGTCTCGATGGCCTTCATTTTTTGAAACGTTTCAAAAATGGTTGACAGAGTTATACGAGATTTCAATATCAGGATTAGCGCTGACCATCCCAATTGAGCGGATGATATCTAACATGCTGTTTGATGTACCGTTCCCTACCCTTACCAAACCTACAGTATCCCTCTCTATTGGGGATAAGACTATACCATTCGAACAACCACTCACTACTCAAATACCAACCAGGTATTATTTATTTTCAATTCTAAGACAGTATACTGTTCTAGATTTCCCTCTAATAATTATAACCATTTGTACAGAAATATCATATCTTTTGAAAACTCCAAATGACTTCTGGCTTCCGGCCTTGTCTTTTTCTATTGACTCTTCCAAAAATTACATATCCCCACTATTTAAACCATTAAAAAAATATCTTGTTTCAGCGGTGGCACAGTGAAAACGCTACTAGAATGTCTTGAACCAAATCACCTGTTGCAAGTCTTCTTCCAGCTCCTTCTTGAAGAAAATGTCCTGTTCATTTCATCGTCCTCACTAAATCTGACAGCGACGGCTGAGGCATTTTGTTCACTACTTTACCCCTTCAAGTGGATGTCCCCGTACATTCCTCTTCTTCCCCGGCTTATTGGAGAGAGTTGTTTGCAGACTTTGAGTTGGACTGTCCGGTACCCTTCATCATTGGTAAATGTTATCCCCATGTTGTAGGATTACCTAATTTTCCTGATTTCATACCGTTCTTTCTTCTCTTCTCTGAAATTATGTCTTAATCACAACAATTGGAGTTTGTAGTCTTCATATTGTCACTCCTCAGGAATGAAGCGGGACTTTCTGGATATGTACCACTGTCCGGACCGAGTGACACAGGTGAACCTTGATCACAACACGGTCAGACTGCCCTCACGATACATCAACCCAGCTGATTACCTCCCAAAACACGTGATTAACAACCTGAAGAACAGTCTCACTAGTATCTACAATATGTGTGACACCAATAGCAACGGTGAGTGTTTGGTTGGGGATCTGGTATTCAAAATTGAATTGCATCCAAGTTACACAAAGGTTTTGTCATATAATGTGAGTTACGCCTTTACGAACTAAATCATAATCAAGACTTCCCCTCACTCTTATTATTTCAGTTCGGACGAGAGCAGTCGAGCTGCAAGTTCAAGAGACATTCCTAAAATTCCAAGCAACTCTACTTAAAGGCTACACGGACTTTCTTCTTCCAGTTTTAGAGTCAAAAGACAAAAACTTCTGTAACGCTGAAAATCTATTTGATATCGAAAAGTTTATAGCTTCAAGGGAAGAGATTCAAAGGCCTTTCTATAAGGTATGATTATTTTGTTACTTTGTTTTACTTATTTCTCAGTAGACCGCAAAAGAACTATTTATCAAAATTATTTGAAATAATCTATTACTGTCATTATCCCTTAAATACAATCATTCATTTCAGAAACTGCTGAGTACCCAAATGTTCAATTGCTTTATCATAGCTCGATCATTTATATCCGACTCTGACGAAACGTTGGAGTTCTTTGACGGTTGTATAGAGAGGCTGGAAGATGATGCGCCGCTGCTGCACGAAACAGATTCTAATCGTGGGGTTACTGTGGTGGTTCAAACTGAGAAAATGAGTCAAGGTAACATTTTAAATGGAAATTTGTTTTTATCATGAAGATTAATATCGTGGTATCAGGGCACTCCATTGAACATCATTATCTTAGCCTGGTGTATAAAGCACATCTCCATAATTACATTTGCAATGAATTATGGGAAGGGAAGACTTTAACCAACGACTTGTGCGTCTCAACAGTAAACAGTTAAGCATTGGTTGCGAAACTACGGGAAAATTCTTAGAAACGTAGATGTATTAAGTAGATCATAAGTTGGAAATATTGCAGGTCTGAAGCCGAGCAAGCTGTACAGTTACCCAGTATTCGTGCTGGATCAGGAACTGTTCTACACCAATGTTCCTGAGGAGAGAGGAGGCATGGAGAGATCGGTAATCTCACTGCGGACTAAAGTTGAGAAGCAGAAAATGTTAAAGCGTGCACGTGCAGCGAAGATGCGCTGTAACACTCTCTCGTGGAGCAAGTAAGTCAACTTCTTCTCTTTTTTACTCGTGCGTGGAACATACAAAGCTTACAATAAAATATGTCATGATCGATGTTTAATATTCGCGTATTTCCTATGCCGGCCAACCTATGGGAATCAAAAACTGTCTGTAGTCTTAGGACCCAGGTATTGGGTGATGACTGATAAGAAATCAGTTCACATCTCAATAATTCCACATCGCTAAAATAAACTCGTCCAGGTGTCTGTTGCAGCACGTGTACTGTGTATGGTACCTCTACCTTCCCTCTCTGATAACGATCTTAGAACCAGGAGATGAACAACGAGCTCAACTTAATACTGCCCTTCAGATTATACAGACTCTCAGGACTGACAGAAAAACTAACTTGGAAGAGGTTTATTTCAAATGATTTAATTTTTTATATTTATCTCCTTTCTTTTTTTACTAATAAGTTTACAATCGATGAATCGATGAATTGGATTTAAAAAAAAAAACATAATCTAAATATTTCTCTTTACTTCAGGTGTGTTACAGAATATTGATATCTCTATCCGGGTTCTACGATCACCCTCAAGTTGCCATGGATACCTTCACCCACATGCAGGAGAACAAAATGAACATCAGCGCCGTAACATACGGTCACTACCATCGTGCCGTCCTCTTCAACGAGAACGTTAACGGGGACACAGAGACAAACCCTCTTACTCACTGGCGTATCTTGAGACTTTATATCATGACTTGTGTTGCTTTCAAACGTTTCCGGCGACAAGCCCAAGTCCCCATAGGAAACACAAGTTCACTCGAAAGTATTGAATCGAGCGTTAAGAACAATGATTCTCCCACCGGCACTGGCAGATTCTCATCTAACGGAATGTCAGATTCTGGGATAGAATTAGACCATCCCCTGTCAGCACTTAAAGTTTCGTTTGACAAAAGGACTAGTACCGACACCAGTACAGCCAGTAGTCCCCCTACCACCGCCCAGAAACCCCCCACAGTTCCCATCAAAAAGAATCACCGCGGTCACACTCGCAGTATATCAGACGTTTCCATGTTATCCGTAGGTAACATTCATCAGAGACAGCTGTCAGACGATGCTGGTTATAGAACCCTCTCCAGACTCAAATCACCTCGCTTCAAAAGGAACAGTCTCATGGGTAAAACAGTTCAGGACAAGAGGGGGATATCTCGCAGTAACACAAACAGTTTTAAACGAACTAAAAACACCATGACCCCAAGCAGTTCCACGTATAGTGTCCAGTCTCTGGAGCCGGAGGAGGATCCCGGAGAGTTTTATGTTAGGGAGTTTGAGAACCCTAACCCGATGAAGTTCACTTTAACACCAGAGTGCGGGGAGGATCTTGATCCTGACGCTGAACTCAAGGTTAAGATCTGGAGTTCGTACACGTGCTCTCATTGTCAGAGATGATCTACGATGAGCAGATTTTAGCAGGCTGGGGTCATGAGGAGAGTAACCTGTCCACTACTTGTCCCTACTGTGATATGACTTCTGTCGCCCAACTCTCTATAGAGGTGCAGTGTTATTTTCTCTAGTTTTATTTTTAGCAAAAATGTTCAACCAGTTTTTAGTTAAAATATTTCTCAGTGTTAATATAATTTGTGAATGAGGTCACTCCGATGATCTAATATCTAAACTCAATTATAATCAGGTGACGTATCGGTCTTGTAACAGCGATGCAGAACCACTAACTCCGAAAACAATCCACCGGGAGAGCAGTATCAGCAAGACCCAACCAATCGACACTAACAATATTCAGATATCACTTGAAGGGGAGGACGACGCTATGGACTCTTACGATTCTGGTAAGTTGTGATAAGAATAAGATAAAGCACCAGAAGTACGCTGCTATGTGAAGTCGTATTATCTTTGTAATCGTATCGGAAGCAAATGAATGTATTTTATCCATAAATTTTCAACTGTTATTGATATTGTAACACATACAAATTATCCGTTTTCTAATCATGGACTAGAAAATGAATTCTCAGGGAACATATCTTTTGCAATGCCGGAGCCGATTAGAAGAGAGAGGAAGAACCGGAGTGGATCAGTATTAGCGAGCATGAATCCCAGAACAATGAGCATGAAGAAGAAGGAGGAGGATAATCACGTGGAGAGAATTGAGGTTCCTTATCTCTGTCCTATCGTACTACGAAAAGAGGTGATTTTTAAATCGTGTTGAATTTTTTGCTCAAGCACATGCTGATTTTTTGTTAATTTCAAAAGTCAACGAAGATTACATTTCATAAAATTGTAAACCCATGATGATTGATCTATTGATGATTTTTGTTTGATGCAAGTTATAAGTTATAAGTTTAGGTAATTTTGGATATCACAAAGTTAACGCAAAGATTCAGAAATCAGGAAGATAAATAATTTGAAGATTAGATTATGAAAATGAGTTTTCTAGTTTTGAAGCTTCGTACATCTGCCCCCACCAAATGCCTGGCTGGATACTGTGCTGATATCCCCTAATATTTTACTGTAAAATATATCAGTATTTAACTTACTGATTTACTGGCAGGTTGAGTGCGTTTGTGAGAGTGACGGACCAGGAGAGATGGTTAAAGACGACCTGGCCACCTCACATACCATCCTCTTCTGGAACATGGTGTGGTGGTTCTGCAGGGAGAACCTCTCCAGCAGTCTCCCTCTCTACATTCCTCAGGCTTTTAGGCATCTCCACCCTAAAGGATATGTACGTGGACAATAAGAGTGTATTGAAATAGATAATAATAATAATAATAAGAGTATTAAGGGAGAATATAAACAGATTATTAACACACTGGAGAGTATTCTCATGTTTAGTGTTCTATCTTGTTGGCTGGCCGTAGTTCATCTATTTAACTGGTTATTTCCCCTTCCTATGTAAGCTAATATCCTCATCACTTCAGCTGTGTCAGAGTGTGGAACTAAGTACTCAATGGTGCAAGACCGCGCACTCGCTCTACAATAACTTTGCGGAGTTATCACACAATAAGGATCTGCCTCAGTGCACGCAACTGTGGCGTGTAGTTGAGAACTTTATGCAGGATGATGTGAGTTGGGAAACTGAGAGAGGATATTCGTCATTTTGTGTGCAATAGGAGCACCAGTTGTAAAACTTAAGTTAACTTTTTATCAAATTCATCGTTGATAACTGATATCATTAACAACTTCATTCGCTCTGACAATGAATATCTTAATGACATTTCTACTTGTAACAACACGATAACCCCAGCTGCAAAGTGCGGTGAACCTACTCGTAGTCCACCGAACAGAAGCCCACATTAATTTGTACCGTGAGTTGCTCTACCTGGGATGCAGATATAAAAACAGTTTCTCTAATCTCCAGTTTGACGAGGATTACACTTCGTGTCTCGCTCGAATTCCTCAGGTATGATTAAAATGTGAAATATTCAGCTCGCTTCCTTTGTAACGTGACTTTTTTTCGCTAATTTTTCGCTAATTTTGATTATATTTTTGTAATGTAACCGGCGCCGCAACCTCTGATAAAAGTTTTTCTCTTTGAAAAGGTTCGACTACAACTGCCTTTCGAGTTGGAATTGTCGGATAGACTACATTCGAATTATAGTCCCACGGACGAGGATAAAATCAAACGATTGGTAGTGTGACCTTTACATTAATGTCAGCTGCGTACAATTAACTTTCCCCCTTTTTTGGTGGAAAGTTTTTAGTACATTTTTGGTCTTGTTGTGATCTTCATCAAATTTTATACTCTTGAATGTGTATGTGTCAATAACTTATCAATCTTTTTGCTGTACACTCTCAGGTTTAAGCTTTCACTTAGTAGTCAGTATTGTAGCCACTTATAAAAGTTAGTGAAACTAAGCATCATAAATTTGTAGCCACGTGAAACATTTCAACTTTATAGTATACTAATATTCTCCCCAATTCTACATAGAATGCCTGTAGCTTTCTGATTTCCATTGACCGTTACACTCTGCTAACAACGGATGACGGATTGCATGTTTACTAAATCATAGAACTCGATAACTCTATATTATAGATTCTATGATGATGGTAGACTATTATTGGTAACTACTATTAATAAAACATTAACTTAAAACCAGTAGCGGGTTTGACAGTTAGCGCAACAGCATGGGTGATATTATGTATTGTCAGTCATCCAGAACGGATACGCTAACCCGCTCATCATTTCAGATATCCTCCAATCGACTTCATCCAGACGATGTCCCGATGAAGCAAGCAGATATTCACTGTCGTCAAATGTTCTCCTGGTTGGGTTTATCTATCTGAGCAACACTTCCCACGCCTCAAACTCTCACGCGTTACACTTAACGCGTGAGGTGATGCGTTATAAAATATAAACATTTTGACGTTGAGGGAAAATGTGACGTCTCGGTAAAGGGTCCTGGTTTTCTTGTTTATTGTTTTTACACATTTTTAATTTTGGACACGGGACGAAGCTGTAAATGTATCAATATATTATCAGATCAAAGTTAAAGTACCCAAATTTACATGGACAATTTTAACTGTATAATAATTTTTATCATCGAACATGTTAATTTAATGTACAGTACGGTTCAATCTCAATAAGTTTCTTAGTAACAAAAGCACTGTAATCAATTTAAAGTATTACATACCATACTATCTAGGATCTTAGACTATTCTCGAAACTTGTTGTCAGATGAAAAATGGCGCCTAAATTTAACTCATCTGATATTATGAACTCAATAATAAAGCTAATGCCATGGTTGAAACCTTTCTTTTCTTACGAGATTGAACCCAAACAAAATCTATGTCTTGTCAGCGCAACTGTTTGTCAATTAACTTATAGACGTGTAATGTTTTCAAATGATGTTTTAAAACTCTTTATCTTATCGCAGACTCGATAAGTTTTCATTATAATTCTGGTTCTAAACTTTAACGACCAATGTTTTGGTAATTGTGTCTAGCTGCTAATCTTGATGAAAGTTCAACGTAAAACGATTAAAAAAGTAATTTCATCTTCAGAACTAGGCACAGTTAACATATAAATATTCGATTGGAATGAGGGGGCAGTTATAAGTTGGGAAACAGAGTTTATTAAAGAGTGTGTCCTGTCAAGCTGTTTGATTAATTTATTTGTTTTTATCTTTGTAAATAGAGTCTAATTATTAAATTGATTTTAAAATTCCTTGTTTTCGTTCTCCAAAACCAACTTATATACTGGGGACTTCAGGCTTTTCTGTTCATAAATATACGGCGGAATGACAGACTGATCCCAGCCCAGTAAGGTCACGACGTGATACAAGTACATATAATACTACTATACCGTGGCCAAACCTAATCTCCCAATTTCCCGATTACCGATTCGAAATAGTTTATTTTTTCCCGATCCATGACTCAAGTGCCGAAGGCACAAAAGAGTCAAGGACAAGGGTTAGCGATCGAGTTTTTTTTTGGGATATGGTAGCTTTGCGACCGTACCTGCGTGCGAGCGTGCGTGTCTGCGTACGTTTCGCCCACGTGTCTGCCTGCGCAAAGTTATTTTGCGCGAAAATCTGAATTAAACAATTGTTGGCGCGCGGTGCTGAAATGTTCAAGTACATTGTTAATTTCATCATGTACGCATCCCGCTAGGGACTAATTGATAGCATATTATTATTATTTTGAGTTAGTATTACAATTTTGCACAGATCCGTGTCAGGTTGCATAAACAATAAACATATGGTTACATAGAAATATACACGATTTTCAAATTAAATATGGAATTATATCAACTGGGCGGCGCTCGGCCTGTCACTCCGCCATATCTGCATGCTTATAAACAGTAAAGACTGGGGTCCACAGGTGGTATGGAATATGATCAAATACTCCATCACGGATCGGGAAATTGAGCGGCCATCCACAAAAGAAAAGCGGCCGCATTTCTTGTTAAAAATAGACCTGATCATTAGAATGAATCCCAAAATCTAAGTAAGCTAAGATGTAAAACATCCAACCTCTTTTTAGTTTGTAACATTAAAACAATATATACTTAGATTTTGAGCACATTTTTGAATAGATCTGAGCAATTATAAAATGAATTCAAACATTTTACTAATACCAAACCTCCACTTCATATTAAACAAAAATAAGAAACAATTGAAATTTATGCTTGAGTATTCATGAGTTTGGGTTTTATGTGTTTTTGCACATACAATAACAATTATGCTGTGCTTGGCATCGTGCAATATGTACAAAGTCCTTTGCTTGTAGTTGTGTATCTGTACTTTACCTGGCACCCCAGTCCCTGTGCGCGGCGCTCTTTTCAAGCTTCCTGAGCAAGCTCCTGAACGATACGTTAGAGAAGCGAACAATAAACTAGCACGCTAGGTAAATCTGTACTGTGTTTTGATCTGAGATCTAAATGTGATTTCAAGTGTGACCCCCATTTTCCTGAAAAATTACACTTTGGACACTGGAAAGGGCGCTCTCCCGTGTGTTTCCTCATGTGAACTTTTAAATACTTACTACATCTCGCTGAGTAATTGCATTTGTCACATGTTTGTAAGGTTGTTCTGCGGAGTGGGTTCTGAGGTGACACTTCAAGTTTCCCGACCAATTTGCTGAATAGTCGCACTTATCGCATTTATATGGACGTTCTCCGGTATGCTTCCTCATGTGGATGGTCAAGATATTTCTTCCTATTGGCATTGCCGCATAATCGCACTCTGTGCAGCGGTAAGGACATAATCTGTAATCCTTTATTGTGGGTAGTTAACTTTAATGCATGAGTAAGGTATATTTCCAATTCCTAATTGCGGCTGCGAAATCGCATTGGTCGCATTTGTAGGAACGTTCTCCGGTGTGGATTTTTACGTGTTTCGCCACATTGTGTTTTGAATTTGACACCGAAGAATAATCACAATAATCGCATTTATAAACTGGTTTACCATCGTGACAAGGCTTGGCGTATGTGTGAGTTAACTCGTGTTTAGTTAAGTTGTTGTTGAATTTTGTAGCGATAAGAGATGAGATAAGAGAGGTCAATAATCAATGCGTAATAAAACTACACACATCTTACAATGACATTAATATTGTTGTAACTTTTGTCTTCATTTTCATTGTCCTGCATTTATTTTAGAGTGGGGTTACAATTAAAACGAATAAATTTGAAATCTCTAAAACCATATCTAATCATGCTAAATGATAATTTACCCAAATTAAAATCCATTGAAATATAATGTGTTACATACTGTATTATATCTTTTAATATTAATTATCGGATATAATAGATATAAATTCTTTAAAAAAGTTGTCTATGAAACGTCCACCCCGACAAGTTCTCCGAAATTATTTAACCAGGTTACAAAGAAATAGTCCCAACGGTAAAAACACACCAAGTCCTGAAATCGCAGCCATAGTTGGGATTTCACTTCCTTCCTTCAACACCAATGCTGATACGACAGTCCCCAAAGCAGCAGCAAGGCTTAAAACGATGTTGAACATCTTGGCAGACTGTTCTCCCAGGCTTCTGTTATCCAAACTCCACTTTTCGTAAAGAGAAAACTTGCTGGGGGTGTAAAGGGTAATATGAAACGTCTCGCCTATACCCATAAAAACGATTCCTATCACCAATTGGTAGGTGAAGTCAAAGAATTTGAAATCAGATGTTGTGGCTCCGAATGCCACTACTGTACCAATGTAATAGCACAAGTTTCCAACTGCCAGTGCGGGGATGACATAAAACTTCTTGATTCTACCTACTATGAAGCTCAATGTTAAAGCTGAAATGAATGCGACAATGCTGAAGATGCGCAGAAGTTTTACTGCTGAATTAAGGGAAAATGAGGAGGAATACAAGATCCTTACAGGTAGCACATACATCATGAGATCACATACTGTATGGTTCAAGAACAGGGCTACATCAGGAAAATAGAATGCAATTTTTCGTGACCATAGATTGAGGGCCGGGCCGACTCTGTGGGACTCCTTATTTTTGGAATCAACTTTTTGTCTGCAACTTTCTGTCATCTCTATGATTTTTAGGAATGGCAGCAATAAAAGAGGGAGGATGTTGAAGGAAGCCATGCCAAAACCAACTAATACCCACCCACCAGCTACAAATAGCTCAGTGCACAATACTGCTGATAGAAATCCCCCAAATGACATGAAGCTACCTATCAAGATCATCATCTTCTTATCTTCCTTAAGATATAAATCTATAACCTCTCCCTGAAATGTAATATTTATTACTGCTTAACTGCAATATAAAAATAAACAAATTTAAATTTGTAATTTTTGGAAGCTTTGAACCATATGCTATGCATTTGGCACAGTTAAGGATAAAAGGTAAAAAGACAAATGACCGCAGATACATAGTAGAATAGTTCCTCACCTGAACGAACACATGCATTATGCCCATTGCACACCCCTGAATACCCCTCAGTAATGCTATTGTTACGAAAATAACAGGGGCACCAGAGTTAATATCAATGAATACTCGGATCAAAGCCATCATAGAGGTGGAGATCAGGTTCAAAAGGTTCACACACAAATATCTTTTGGAAAGGGACGCGTTTCTGATGGATTTTGGTAGAAAGTTGTAGATGTATGGGCCAGCAGGACAAGTTATTAGAGCAGTAGAAATGGAAACAGTGCCTGAAAATACAGTGATTTTTGGGAGTGGTTGTCTCTCGGGTTCAACGAGCGTGCTAAATCACTCTACAGTCGATCTTCGAAATTTTTCTAAAAGGCCCCCCCGACAGTTGAGACCAACATCATTCGATGTATTTTCGGACGCTGATTCCGAATCACCCCCCATGATTGTAGCGCGATGCACTACTGGGTCGCGCCGCGCATCAAATAATTCGTCTATGCAGATCGGCGAGATGCGAAGGATTGACATCGTGAATCAACCCCCATGACATAGGGTTAAAATGCTCCCCTAGCGAGATATTGGCGAAAAACTGTTTTGATCACGTGATATGACCATATACGGAAGTTAGTCTAATTTCTCGTTAGGGTTAGGGTTTCAGCATATGCTTTTGTTAAAGATTGGGTTAGGGTTAGGGTTGGGATCAGATTAGAGGGCTATGATTTCGAATAGTCATTCAGGGCCACCAAGAGAACGTGTTTAAAAAGTCACGTGACAGTCGAGTGTAGAGTGATTAATCATCATCCCGGGTTCAACAAATTGCTCTACTAAACAAATAGGTGATTTTTATTTTTATTGATTGTTGGATAGGATGGCAGGAATACCAGATGCCAAAGACCCAGTGTACCCCTTTGTGTGCACAGTACCTACTTACGAAGAGTTTGAAAAGAAGATCAAAACACGACGCAATGGATCTTCACCAGGGCCCAACGGAGTGCCATACATAGTTTACAAAAGGTGTGCCAGGCTGAGAGAACTATTGTATGCGTGTATTAGTAAACTCTGGTTATCAAACAGTGTCCCCTTGCAGTGGAGAATTGGAGAAAGCATCCTACTTCCCAAGACCACGGACCTTAGTGACCCTGGCAAGTTTAGGAACATCACTATGACTAACACCAGTGGGAAAGTGGCAATGGGTATGCTAGCTGATAAAATGCTCGACTACATGACCACCAATAAGTACATCGATACCTCTGTGCAAAAAGGCTTCCTGCGCAAGATGCCAGGATGCATAGAACACACACAAGCGCTCATGGAGGAACTGCGGGATGCAAAGAGTAAGAGAAGACAGGTGTATGCAGTATGGGTGGATCTTATGAATGCTTATGGGAGAGTACCCCATGAGCTGATAGTGTTTGCGCTTCGGCACTACAAGTTCCCGGAAGAAGTGGTCCAATATATTGTCAAGTACTACGACGAACTGGTAGTACGGGTGAAGACGAAGAAGTGGAAGAGTGAGTGGTTCTACTACCTAATCGGGTTGTTTCAAGGGGACCCGCTTTCTGTCGTGCTATTCTTAATAGCATTCAACCTACTCTTGGATTTACTTCAGGTCGACAGAACAATGGGATACAAGCCGTCGTTCAGCTCTGAGCCAACTACAAACAGAGCTTTTGCAGATGATCTCACCCTGCTGTCTGACAGACTCGACAAAATGAAGAGGCTGGTCGGGCAAATGGAGGAATTCTTAGCATGGACAAGGACGATGAGAGCTAAACCCAGCAAGTGTATTGCTCTCGGAATGAAGGTAGTGGACAATACCTACAGATCGTTTGACCCTGAGATCATCATTGCAAACGAGAAAGTAGCGTACCTTGGTGACACACCGATAAAGTTCCTTGGTCACTGGATTTACGTCAACCTGGGCCAAGATGAGACGAGAGAGCTAATCACCACTCAACTTTCAGGCCAGCTGGAAAAAGTAGACATGGCGGAGCTCTCTGGACCAAGCAAGTGCTGGATCTACAACCACATGCTAACTAGCAAAGTACAGTGGAATATTGGGGGGGGGGGGGGGGGGGGGGGGGGGCCAATGGCATAAATGGAGAAAATGGAGAATTACTCATGGGTTTTTCCATTTTCTCCATAGAAATAGTCTCCATTTTATGCCATTTTATGCCATTTTATGCCATTTTATGCCATTTTATGCCATGGAAAACCTGAAAAATTTAGAATTTCGAGAAAAATTATTAAAAAAAAAGATATTTTCGGCCAATAATGAACAGAGTATCATGAAACATGGAGAAAAGTGGTTTTCAGAAAAACTTTGAAAGATGTTGACTTAAAAAATGTTCGGTCCGAGTCATTTACGAAACGTACCTCCCGTATCGAGAGCTCCCGATTCCGAGCTCGTGTTGCAAAGGGGAGGCCTATCTTCCGAGATCGCATTTCCTCGAGTCCAAAATTGTGTATCGAGGGGAAGGTGTGGACTTCGAAAAACCGAAAAAATATTTTCGGCAAATAATGAACAGAGTAGCATGAAACGTGGAGAAAAGTGGTTTTCAGAAAAACTTTGAAAAATTTTGACCGAAAAAATATTTTCGGCTTATAATGAACAAGGTAGCATGAAACGTGGAGAAAAGTGTTTTTCAGAAAAACTTTGAAAAATGTTGACTTAAAAAATTACCCCTCGCTCGGTACACAATTTTGGACTCGAGGCTTCCCCCTGGTAATGCGATCTCGGAAGGCAGGCCTCCCCTTTGCAACACGAGCTCGGAATCAGGAGCTCTCGATACGAGAGGTACGTATCGAGAATGACTCGGGCCGAAAATTTTCCAAGTCAAAATTTTTCAAAGTTTTTCTAAAAACCACTTTTCTCCACGTTTCATGCTACCCTCTTCATTATGAGCCGAAAATATTTTTTGGTTTTTCGGTTTATCGAAGTCTGCACCTACCCCTCGATACACAAATTTGGACTCGAGGCTTCCCCCTGGTAATGCGATCTCGGAAGGCAGGGCTCCCCTTTGCAGTGCGAGCTTGTTTCGACTGTCGAGGATGTAGGTCTCACTTCTCAGTGCCTATTACTCTCCCCTATTACTCACTCCTGCTGTAGCCTGTAGAAATAACTTTACACTAGGCTTGAGTGATTATGAGTTTGCCTGAAGTGTGCCTCTACTAACCTAGTATAAGCATCTAGTAGCCTACTATGAGCTTTCATAAGCTTGTTACGCCCCTAGTAAGCGTAAATAAACATGTTAGGATGTCCAATTTAGGTGTTAAATGGTATTAAAGATGAAATTTCGAAGACAAAATTCATGGCATAAAATGGAGAAAATGGAGAATTACTCATGGGTTTTTCCATTTTCTCAATAGAAAAAGTCTCCATTTTATGCCATTTTATGCCATTTTATGCCATTGGCCCCCCCCCCGGAATATTATGATATACAACCTCCCAGTATCATTCATCCAGACACTAGAGGCTCTTTGTACCAGATACTTGAAGAAATGGCTTGGAGTTACTACTTCCATATCGAATAGTGTGCTGTACAGATCAAAAGACCACTTTGGACTATCGTTAAAGCAGATCTCCAACCTGTACAAATGTCTACAGGTGTCCAAGGCCTATATGCTGAAGACATCGGTTGACCCCAAAGTGAGGGAGGTTTTCGAGTACAGAGAAAACACCAACAGAGACAAGAAGAGATGGGACTACACCAAGGAGCTGACTAATAGGGAGAGAGACCTCTACTTCAAAGAACTGATTGGCTACGTGCAGACCAGGGAAGGAGCCGGTATTGGATTCGGTGATCAGAGGAGGAAGAAGAACAAAAAGGAGCAACTGGTGGAGATAATTAAGTCTCTGAAAGAAGAGGAGCTCCTTCAAACTCTCTACGATAAGAGAGTCCAAGGAAAGTTTCTAACCTGGGAGAACACCATGCAGCTAGACACTGGCTGGCAAAGCCTGCTGTATACCTTGAGCCCTGAGCTGACAAAGTTCCACCTAAATGCCATCCACGACGTTGCAAGTACACCTAGCAACCTCCAGCTTTGGAACTACAGCTCCACGAACAACTGTCCCCTCTGTGGGCGTCAGCAGTGCAACCTAAAGCACATTCTAACGTGTTGCCCAGTGTCGCTTAAACAAGGAAGATATAATTGGAGACATGATCAGGTGCTCAGGGTTATCGTGCAACCAATTGCAGAGAAGCTGAGGGAGACAAACAGTGCTACCCCAAAGACAGAAGTGAAGAGAGAGTGGAGGAAGTTCGTATCCGGAAAAGGAACCTACAGGAAACCCGAAGTACGGCTTACAGAAGAACCTCATCTTCTAGAGGAAGGTAACGACTGGAAACTAGTGTTTGATGAGGACGAAAGGACAAGACAATTCCCCCAACATATTGTCAACACAGCTCTCAGACCTGATGTGGTAATATACTCTAACACACTCAGGAAAGTCATCCTGATAGAGCTGACCTGTGGAAACGAGGAGAACTTTGAGGACCAGAGATCCCGGAAAGAGAAGAGATACGAAGAGCTAATGGTGGAGATCGAGACCGCAGGCTGGGAAGGATATCTCTTTACAGTAGAAGTTGGATGTCGTGGATTCTACCACCACACATTACCCCGAATTTTCAACTTCCTTAACATCACCCGGGCAAAGAAGAAGAGGGCACTTAACACAACAGCGGTGGTGTCCCTGAAAGGTTCCTACACTATCTGGCTTAGTCGCTACAACAAGACCTGGAGTGACAACTGGCAGCTGGCCGAAAGACCCTGCCCAGTTTAATCCTGATGAACAGCTGAACGTTGGGCCCTTAAAACGTCGTTGAAAGCTACATCTGGGGTCGTAAGTCCCAGACATCAGAAGAAGTCAGAGAGTGTAGAAGATTCTGCGTCTGAAAAGACTAGAGAATTGAGGTAAATATAGTTGGTTTGGTCCCATAACTTTTATATAAGAGGGTCATTTCGGACTCGATGCAAACTCTCGATGAATCTTCTGGAACTACAGTTATACGTAATTCGAAAATTTTATGTCCGAGGAAGCTTGAAAGCTTGGAAAATTGTAATTGAATTTGAATACGGACTATGTTGTAGGTTTATAACCTACCAGGACGCGCGCCGAGTATGGAACAAATATTTTACGAGTATCACACGTTAAGGTCTATGTAATCCAACTCACCTATTATGGTACTGATACCAGCTTTTTCAAGGAAGTCTAAATAAAATCCGGAGGGATACACTCGGGTCATATATACGACGCACTGTCCAAGGCAAGCAAAGATCACTATTGTCATCATATGAAATGTTGTCATTTCTGCAAATTTTATGGTTAATAAATAATAACATAATCTCAAACTTTTATCATTTTGAATTTTAAGTCACCGTACTAATGAAGTCACCGGAATAACGAGGATTTATACTTTCGTGAGCGGTAAAAAAACAAAAAATAAACATTTACCCTCCAAACGTTCCTCGTCATCTGATGTCACCGGTTTGTCGTCATCGTTCCCTTCTGAAGTATCACCAAAAGCAATAATTTCCAACGTCTGGCTAGGGTCTGAAACTATGATTTATCGTCAGCTTATCGTTAAATTTCTTCGAATTGCAAATGGAAGCACCATTTGCTATTATATTTAAAAAGTAACGATTCAACCCTTACTTAACCGGAAAAAAGCAAGTAACGTGAACATTTTCAATTTTTCTAATCATATTATGTTTTGTTTCGAGCAGATTCACTTCCAGAATTATCGAAGTCCTCAATGTTCAAAACAGAATTCGCTATGACCAAGTTTTCGTTTAAAATGTTTCTGTCTGAAAATGACTCTAAAGTCTAATGATAAAAATGCAAATGTTACTCTAATGATTTAGCCCATTCTCCATGAAGCAGCAGTATGTGGGCGCTAAAATAATGTAGGAATCTTGACAGGAGAGGTCACTGGTCACTGGTCACTGGTCACTGGTCACTGGTCACTGGTCACTGGTCACTGGTCACTGGTCACTGGTCACTGGTCACTGGTCACTGGTCACTGGTCACTGGTCACTGGTCACTGGTCACTGGTCACTGGTCACTGGTCACTGGTCACTGGTCACTGGTCACTGGTCACTGGTCACTGGTCACTGGTCACTGGTCACTGGTCACTGGTCACTGGTCACTGGTCACTGGTCACTGGTCACTGGTCACTGGTCACTGGTCACTGGTCACTGGTCACTGGTCACTGGTCACTGGTCACTGGTCACTGGTCACTGGTCACTGGTCACTGGTCACTGGTCACTGGTCACTGGTCACTGGTCACTGGTCACTGGTCACTGTGCACTGGTCACTGGTCAAAGGATCAGGGTGTTGTCAAATCATAGAATTTAATCTATGTTTTATCTAAAACTCGATAAATCAAAATCGGCAAAACAAACATGTAGCATGTATAATTAAAAATGTATATTCACTCACAGTCCTCAACGTTCAAAACAGGATTTGCTATGACCAAGTTTTCGTCTAAGATTTCTTCTGTCATGACTCAAATGATAGAATGTAGCCGATTCTCTGTAAAGCAGCAGTTCTTCGTCAACAGGAAAAAACAGAAATTAGAAGAGTAAAATCTTTTGATTTTTAGTAGTTTAAATTCTGTTTAATATTCATATCCATGGGAAATTTATTTCGTTTATAACTATGTCTATTCCCTCTCAGACGGTTATTTAGTGGTCATGGTATTTTGTGGCCGAGCAGTAGCAGTACTGCCAGTACGTTACTTTTGAAGACCCAATGACCACTCATGCTGTCAACCATTATTTTGTATTTTAAACTATCCATTTTTCCCAGCTACCCGCTACGCAGCTCTTCGCGCTTTATTCAGTGGGCATGGTAAATATTTGAGGCTGATTGTTCCTGTAAATAAAAAACTTTAGGAAAATATGACTGATGCACTCCTTGGGCAGGAGATCTTCGCGCTTTATTCAGTGGGCATGGTAAATATTTGAGGCTGATTGTTCCTGTAAATAAAAAACTTTAGGAAAATATGACTGATGCACTCCTTGGGCAGGAGATAGTCTTTTTTAAAAAAAGGGGGCTCCGGCAAGAAACGTGAAGCTAAAAAAAGGGGGCTTAGACAAGAAACGTGAAGCTAAAAAAAGGGGCTCAGATAAGAAAAAGGATGACAAAAATAGGGGCTCAGATAAAGAAAATAAAGTTACAAATAGGGCTTCAGATAAGGAAAATGAAGGAAGAAAAGCCAAGTTTGATAAATGTGAGAAATTCAATGAAGTTGTATCTGCGACAAACTCGGTTTTGGTTACAGCTAGTTGTGAGTTGTGACTTGAGTGAAGTGCCCTCCTGGTCTAACGCGTACGGACTACTGGTATTTTATTTTTGTTTAATTTATAAATTTAAACTTAAGGAGCTCAACAGCGACAAATTAATACAATAAATTGTTATTAGACAATAAACTATCGCACAGATTATATTCAACGATTATTCAACGATTAAACTCCCAGTAAATTATCTGAACAGGTTTTATGCAGAATATGCACGGAAACATAGTGATCGCTTTCAATTAGAGAAAAGAAGCTGCATCGCTTGTTTATGCTTAGAATTATAATAGTTGTACGTTTTTTCAGGAAATTGAAAGCTTGTACTGTGGGGAAGAAGAAACAATTACATAAACAGTGAACGAGAGTAAAGCTGTAAAAAGACTACAAAGTTCAGCACCTCCCCCAGACGTTCTTACTAAACAGGTATCCTCATTTCTTAATCCACTGCTCACTGTTCAGTAGTTATAGCCTCTACTTCCCACTACCATTCTAAGTAAACCTAAGTAAACCACAATTTCCCTGCTCAACAGTCTATAACCCCCCACTTTACTAATCGAACAAGTACGTCCGCAATTAAATGAGGGTATTAATTTGTCCATTTGTTGGCGAAATTAGGTAACTTGCATCCCGCTGCTGGCTTCTTTCTAGTTTCAACGAAGACAGAACCCGGTTCGCAAATAAGTGTCCATGTCCCTAGAGGCTAGAACCCTATCACTTTTTCTAAAATATGTAAATAGTTATAATCTTGCTAAGTTGGTAAGTCCGCCTGCTTCTTATTCGCGAGGTACCAGGTTCGATTCCCAGCTGAACTACCGGCCATGGGGTGAGCGTCGTTGAGCTAAGGATTCTGAGTGATTTATGCAGCCCCCCGGTCCACTCAGCCGATTGCTCGAGAAATCGGGTGTGAGGGTTAAATGAGGAGCTGCCCATTGCAGTGAAGTCTCGGGCGAAGTATGGTACACACTACCTTAACCGTTACTGGCCTAATTAATTTTGATCATAGTTCTAAAATGCGTCAAAAAGCGCTTGTAATCGTTTATAATCGCTTATTAGCGACAGTTAAATACGATAACATTTATGATACTTTATAATCATTTATAATCGCTTATAATATAGATCTCGTAATAAGTTTTCTTGACAATTTATTCCTCGTTTCAAATAGTTAAAAACCGCTTATAATCGTTTATAATCGCTTATAGACAGCAAATAAATAAGCGCTTATAAACTCTTTTCAGTAGGAAACTTTCAAGAAAAGCGTTTATAAGCGCTGATCATAGTGAAAATATCGCTAATTATTATCAGATTTCGAAAAATCGGTTATTGTCGCTTATAATCGTTTTATAATCGATTTAAACCTCTTATTGGCTTAAAATAAAAAAGCGTTTTTTAACCGATTAGTAGGCGCTTTTTAATTTGTAACTTTCCCTAGTGAATATAATCGCTTATAGTCGATTAAAAACGGTTTAAAAACGGTCCAAAAAACGATTTATAAGCGTTTTTTTGAAAAGCGCTTACGGAGCGATTATAATCGCCAACCCTAAAATAAAAGCCATTTTTATTTACTAATATTTTTAATACTACACTTATTTTTGCTTTTAAAGCGCTTATAGTTATAGTCGCTTTTGCAAAAACATCGTTTATAATCGGGACCGTCTATTGGCATAAAATAATCGCCAATAAACGGTCGGTTTTCGAAATAAGCGTTTTTTTAGCGTTATTGTCAAAAATCATTTGTGGAAACTTGCTTATAGTTATAAATTACATTACACCGCGTAAACAAAATCACGGACCATATAATATTTTGTGGTATCTTATCAGTTAAAGTTAGGACGGCTAAAACGTGCAAACGACCGTTTTGTTCATAGTTTTAGCCGCTTATATTTTTGCTGATCAACAATGTCTCTCGAACGGAGTTTAAACTTCGCAGTGCTCGTTGTTTTAGCTGACAGAATGATGGGATGAAGACTCGGCTGAGATTAACTTTATTTGCTTATCTGCGTCCCCTTGGCCAGGGACATTGGTATTCCTGCATGAGAATATTCTTCGGAGCAACTTCCGTGCAGCAAATAATGTTATGAGAACTGTTGTAAGGAAGAAAAAACCAGCTAGGATCCACGGAACCAACGGAGCGGATTTGTTTCCTGAAACATTGGATTTTTTCTATAAATATCCATGCTAAAAACTAAAGCTTTTTAGGACGTTGCCCATTGTATTGAAAAAAGCCTGAAACAGGTACAACTCTGAACCAATTACTTTTAGGTCAAATTTCAGTATTAAACGAATTTAATGTTAAGATATATGCACATAAAGATTCGAACCAATTATATCCCGAAATATTAAGATACTACACAATCGAACTTGGGAACATCTTTAAACTCTTAACTCAATAAACATCTGTACCACTAAATAACCTGTAGAATCTAAGTTGCTGACAGGAGCACCACATTCAGTCCTCTCAGAGTTAGCTACCTCTCCAACATGACACGGGGTACAGGAAGTAGCACCTTCGTAACTAATAGTGTCTCCCTCGCACTGGTTACAGGTGGTCTTGTTAGGAGACCTGTAGGTTCCTGCTGCACAGGCATCTGAAATAAGGTTTATAATTGCTACTGTAACGTACATATCTATCAGCTTCTATTGTCTATAATATATATTATCTTACCTGGGGACCCCAGGCTATAATGTTCATAAACATTATAGAATAGAATATCGAATAGAGATTCGAATAGAGATTCGGCGGAATGACAGGCTGAGCGCCGCCCAGTAAATATTATCTCGAGAGTCGTTCAAGATTGCTAATAAACACAAGGGTCTGTTTTCAGACACAGTCACGGATAAGTAAATTTTTTGCGAAGCCACATGCCCTTTACGTGATTCTCTTTTTTGATCCCCTGCCTTCAAGTTCAAGTGTGTCAACAAAGGTGAAAATCGTAGGAGAATACCCTTTCCAGTGTATAACTCTTACCCAGGTATTAAATAGAGCGAGCTTCTAAACGTGTGGCTCTTCTATTTTCTATTTACTAATTACGATTTTCTAATTACGAGAGCCACACGTTTAGAGGTCGATTAAGTGAATCTCACACTCCGGTGATCTGGTTTCATTGTTCTGAGAGAATCCTCGAGACAGTATTAAAAGATCGTTGCCATTGGTCAATCCTCGAGTCTTGGCCATGGGATTGGTTGACCCGTTATCAGCAACAGCAAACTAAATATAGAGCAGCCTGGAGATTATAGCGGACCCAGTTTGCTTTTTCAGTTCTCTTAGTTTGCTGCATTAGTTTCTCTGTAACCACTTTAGATTTGCATCTTTCCTCAAGTTTGTGACATAGAGCTCACTTATTGAGTTGTTGGTAGCAAGAACTCGCTAGCTCTCAACCCAGAAATTTTTTTCGCTGATAAGCATTTCATTCAAAACTCTTCTATTTGCTTATCTTACCTAAATTTATTTGGTCGAACATTACTGGCCAGGTTCAGGGCCATAAATATAATTATGTCAGCTATTTTAATATCAACCCAAATTAGGTTCAAGTGTCGGCTACCATGTATGTTCGAAGAAATCTTGTGTAATCCTTTGTATTCTACTAAATCAAGTTATGAAATAAAATATAAACCTATTACAGCAGAAATATTGAATTAAATGGTTTGACAGATGATGATTTGTCAACACCTTGTAAGAGAAAAACACCGTGGCCCGAAGAAACGGAGCAACACGTCTAGAGAAAGTATTCACTCCATTGGGATCCTGACGATTCTATTCCTGACTACATTCCTTGTAGGACCCGCAAACGCAGGGGAAGGTAGGAACTTGTTTTATGATCCATTTAGACTTGTTTAAGTGATCACGTGATGCTTCGATTAATGGTAATTGGTAGGATAAGTGTTATGGTTAGAGTTAGGTTTGTGGTTTGCTTTGAGGTTAAGGTTGGGGTAAATGGGTTAATATACCAGTTCCGAAGCAAAAGGTTCTGGACAGGACGTCGTGCCAACCCTTGGTGCGTCGTGTCGTAGAGCTAATCGTCGATTACAACAGACCGAGCAACTGCAATGTGCTGCATTGTGCTGCATTGTGCTGCATTGTGCTGCATTATGATTCATTGTGCTCTTTGTGATTCATGGTGCTGCATTGTGATGCATTGTGATTCATTGTGATTCATTATGATTCATTGTGCTCTTTGTGATTCATGGTGCTGCATTGTGATGCATTGTGATTCATTGTGATTCATTATGATTCATTGTGATTCATTATGATTCATTGTGCTCTTTGTGATTCATGGTGCTGCATTGTGATGCATTGTGATTCATTGTGCTGCATTGTGCTGCATTGTGCTGCAATGTGCAGCAATGTGCTGCAATGTGCTGCAATGTGCTGCAATGTGCTGCATTGTGGTGCCACTGCATGCGCCAGGACATTGAGCTACTATCCCGGACACAGAAACAAACACTGCTATGTCTACTGTAGAGCACACCTTTTTGTAGTAGTAATAGAGTAAAAGGTAGCACACTTATTGGCCACTTATGGCAGCAAGGGGCCATGTTAACTCGGTAACATGTTCATTGTGTAAAAATATAAATATTGCTCTGCTCGCCGAGATTAGGCAATATCTAATCATCTGATTAAGATAACATCATGTGACAAAGATAGCCTAGAAGATGAGACGATTAACCTAACCAATAAGAGTTAGGATAAGTGTTATGGTTAGAGTTAGGTTTGTGGTTTGTTTTGAAGTTAAGGTTGGGGTAAATGGGTTAATATACCAGTCCCGAGGCAAAAGGTTCTGGACAGGACGTCGTGGACACTATTTATTTGTTCACGAAGTAATGTACTTTCATAATATTACAAAGTTAGCTTCACCGTGCCATTTAATAGGGTAACAATAAACAAATAGTTCAACAATATACTAAACTTCAAATGAAGGAGTCATATAAAACAACCAATTTGCAGACTGTACTGTATATTTTTCAGGCTGGAAAGGAATTAACCATGGAACGAAGTATATATTCGACCTTGAGGGCACTCCATTAGAGATAAAGACAAACTCGGAGAATAGATTTGACGTCCGGTCTTACACAACCGGGGTAATGGCGCTTATTTGCGAAGTTTCTTAAAGATTGTAATCGGTAAATTTATATGGTATGAGTACGGTGGCCATTTCATCAGAAATAATCTTCAATCTATAAAGTTCGTCAATTTTCAGGGTTCTGAGATAGGAACTCTGAAGATACACACGAATAGCAAGCAGTACTACATTGCTAAATGCAGCGACGGTGGCAGATCAGGTCGAGGAAGCTACAGTGGTGCAAGTGGTAAAAATGGTATTTGGAAAATCTCCAAAACATCGGGTGACTATCCCAGGCTAGTTGCTTCCTTCAATGATATTGATAACGAAACGATCAACATCAGAATGTCCGACTCAACATGCAAATATAGCAATTGGAGAGACTATTGGAGAATGGACGTAGAGATAATCTCGTTCGATGACGAAGCCGCAACTCAATATAGAATGGGTAAACAAGATATAAAGATATAATAAAAAGCACTTATAGTTGAGAACCCAGTCAATGAATAATGATAAAGTGAAATTAAATTGTACAAATATCCCACTTGTAACTGGACACGTTTTACAGAAGGTTGCCATACAACTCCAAGTTCATGGTCGTTAACTAAAGTGTCTCCCCAACTACCTGTACTCAGAGACACAGAGCTAACAGTAACGTGTACCGACCCTGCAACTTTCAACGAAGGAAGCAGCCAAGTTACCTGCACTTACGAAAGCACTTACTCATTTTCTGGAAATGTGCCCAAATGCAAGTTAGGTGAGGTGTTTAAATCAATATGCTTATATCATGGATTGAATATCTACAGCTTGCTTTAGGTAACAGTAGCTTGCTGATTGTGTTTAAAACCTCTCTTTGCTAGATTGGCAAAAATCAAAACCATTGACGGATGATACGTGTCTACATTTTTTCGGACAAAGCGCTGCGAAGTAGTGCACGCCGGGTCAGTCCATGCCATTAACGATGAACAAACTGCAAATCATTACATTAACAATCGTAGGCTGCACGGAACAGAATCCTAGCTGGAAAGGTATCCAATCGACGAAGAGTTTTCCGGTGGTACAAGGAACTATTATTCAAATGACATGTTCTGATTCGGCAGCTTTAAAAAGAGGGAGCGACACAATGACCTGCTTTTCAGGAACAGATTTCACTTCTTCTATTCCCGAACCAAGTTGTTCAACACCAGGTTAATTAAGGCCAGATTACAGGCCAAAGCAAGGTCTTACTAACGAGGCACTGATCCAACCATGATGCATCCGACAGCGCGCGTACAATTAACAAACATGTAGCTGCAGCCTAACAGTAACAGCAACTCTGGCCGAAACGTAACTTTATTCTGAGTTATGTAACTGCATTTATCGTCTCGACGATATAAATAAAGCAGTTTTTGTCGATTAGTCGTACAATTGAAAATTCCAACGATGTATCCTATCAATTTGGTTTGGACACATAGTAAGACAGCACAAATATAGGTGAATTCTTCGTATATTTACATCTCTAGCCTATAAAAATAAAATTAGGTTAGACTAATGAAAGCAATTTAAAAGTTAACAACTTGAAAATTCAAAACAGATTTTAATCTGAAACTTTACTAAAGAGCTCAATGTGCTAGGTAGAATGGACAACAGAGCATAACAGATTATTCAGCGAGTAACTACAATCCTATTTAACCCAAAAATATTAGTTCTAAATTTTGAAATAAGAATGCTCTCTTCTCTATCAAGTTCTGTTGGTCGGACTTTTCTTACTACACCTAATTTAAAAACTCCCATAGTGAAATCAGATTTATGCGCTAGAAAACAATGCATGGAAAGTGCCGACTTCTCAAATGACAATTCATTATCAATTTTAAACTTGTTTCTGTGTCCATTCATTCTGATATGAAATGGAGAAACCGTTTGGCCGAAATAGGTATCGTCTTTTAGGCTCTGGGGAAGTTTATTACAAATTTGGCATTGGGCGACATAAATTATATTGCTGTCCTTACATGTCAACCGGAAATCCAGAGTTAAATCCAAACCATTGACAGTGATAACTTCGTTGGAGTTGAACAGTTGGGGACAGGTTGCACAGCCTCTCCCCCCACAGTTTTGGCTTACGGTGAAAGAATCCGTTTCGGAGCACGAACTGAGTTTTCTATTGCGCACTACTGTGTTGCCTATAGATGGCTGTTTACGTAGTGCAAACAATATCTGTACGTCTCCGCATAATTGTTTGATGTCCTCACTAGTAGAGTGTACCAACTTCCTAAGTTCAGTGACCTCTTTGAAAAATTTCACTGAAAAGACAACTTTGTCAGTGATTGGCTTCTTTTCTTCCCTCTCATACAAATCGTGTTCTATTGACCTCAAGACTGCTTCAGGCTCTGTTTCCGTTAAGGTCCCCTCCTTGTGTCCACTTTTCATTAGGTCTTCTTTAAGTTCCTCCAGGTCCTCCACACAGGTGTGATCCTGCGAATTTCGCTTGATCACTCGGATCATCTGTGAGAATACTACTGATTTAAAGACGTGGTTTGGGTGGAAACTATCAGTATTAAGGTAAAGCCTGGCATCAGTCTCTTTCTTAAATAGTCTGTAGTCGATGTTGTTGTTCTCCCCCAGGGAGAGTTCTACATCCAAGTAGTTAACTGATTTGCCAAACTGACAATCACCGAACTGAATTCCAAATCGTTTTGCGGCTTCATTTAGTTTCGACACAAAAAGATCAAATTGCCTCCTGGAGCCCTTCCAAATTCCAAAGACATCGTCGATGAAGCGTCGCCAGAATAAAATAAGACTCCATAGCTGTATCATTTCAGGCCAGATGTTGATGAATAGCACCCAATGAAGCATGATATCAGCGACTTGACGCGAAATACAATTTCCAGTTGGGATACCCTTTTTGCCTGTGTACACATTTTCTTGAAAAGTGACAAAGGAGTTTGTGAAGATAGTCTCCGTGAATGTTTTCAGAATAGCCTTTCGTTTATCAATCATAGTACTACCGTTCAGGGCATGTTCCAATGCAGACATAGCTATTTCAGGTTTTATGCTTGGATACAGACTGATCACGTCTAAAGTAAACAAGTTGATGGTGCTATATTTTGACATGTCTGCAGATTCATTAAGGTTTTTTATGTTACTGAGAAGGTCTGGTGTATCCAGGAGAAACTCCTGTTGGCAATAAATCCTACTTACATCTGTTAGGTATGGGCTAACCCACTTTTCTAGCCTGTAAAGGGGGCCTTCCTTAGTGGCATGGACAAGCCTGGTAGGGGGAACTATTTTCCCCTCAATCTGTTGTGGACTTAATTTATGCAGCTTAAATAAAGGGTACACATAAGGGACTACTGGTTTGAATACATGTGCATGCATTTGGTTATTATTTTCATTAAGTCCAGTAATGAGTTTCTTGTCTTTTTCTGTGATTTTCCCCTCTGATAAAGCCAGAAGAACTGCATCCTTAACATTATTCTTCACATCTGTCATTTTCTCTTCAACTGACATTTGGGAATGAGCAAAGTTATCTCTGTCTCCTAAGTTCCTTTGAACACATTCCACAGCTTCCTTATAGTCAAGAATCAAGGTCGATCCTCCTTTGTCAGCTTTGGTGACAAAGATGTTCTCATCTTCTATATTTTTCAAAATCCATCTCTTCCCTCTCCTCTCTGCTGGTGTCAGGTTAGACTTCGGGTCAGCAGGCATGAAGCTGTTTACGAAACCCATCAGTTTTGTTTTTATTTCATCAAAGAGCGGGTTGCTGTACTCAGGATGCCTTCTTGAAGGTATCCTTAAGCCAGGATGTTCGTCTTCGTTGAAACTATTGTTCTCAGTTGGGTTATCATGAAAGAACGCCGTCCATGAAACTTTACGTAAGAACTCTTTGGTGTCATACTGAAGGTCTTCCTTACTTGCCTTTTTACTTTCCACAAAGTTCAAGCCTTTGGCCAGATACAAAAATGCTATATCGGGGACTTCTACATGGGACAGATTTCTCACAACTGTGGACGATATCTCCTTGACTCTCTGTTCCAACCATAACTTTTTCCGGTTCTGCTTGTTTTTCTGGTAGCGTTTGCGCCCGGCCTTCTTCTTTTCGGCAGATGCTTTTCTCCACTTCTTGCGTTTGGAATTTGAAGAAGGAGGGTTGGCTTCTGTTCCCTGTTTGTTGAGATGAAACTGAATTTTCTTTTGGTGGGTTTTCCTGATGCGCTCACGAACCTTTTCAGCCTTGTTTTGAAGGGATTGCAAAGTTGGTCCGGAATCTTCAACAAGTTTAAGCAGTTTGCTAAACTGTTGGCCCAGCTTAACAATATCTCGATTAGCCTCGACAACTGAACACTCCTTGAGAATGCGTAATCTTGCATCCTTTAAAATGGCTGTCTTCTTCAACTCCAAGTCCCTATAACTAAACTGTTTACCAATGTCAGGCTTAACACTCGACAGAATTCTCGATCCCAATAACTCCCTGCTATCCATAATACCCAGAATCAGGTGCAGCTGCATCTCTCTTTTGATAAGTTTTTCATTAATCGCATGTAACCTAATTTTGAAATCATCTGTATCACTTGGCTCCATAACAGGTCTTTATGACACTCGAAACACAGACTGGTCTTAACGTGTTCACACGAAAACAGGGGGGTGTTCAAGTATCTCCTCAGATCCACAGATGATGATGTTAGGTTTGTGCCGTCTCCCTATGTGTCAAGGGGGTTGTCATGTGTCAAATCAATTTGGTTTGGACACATAGTAAGACAGCACAAATATAGGTGAATTCTTCGTATATTTACATCTCTAGCCTATAAAAATAAAATTAGGTTAGACTAATGAAAGCAATTTAAAAGTTAACAACTTGAAAATTCAAAACAGATTTTAATCTGAAACTTTACTAAAGAGCTCAATGTGCTAGGTAGAATGGACAACAGAGCATAACAGATTATTCAGCGAGTAACTACAATCCTATTTAACCCAAAAATATTAGTTCTAAATTTTGAAATAAGAATGCTCTCTTCTCTATCAAGTTCTGTTGGTCGGACTTTTCTTACTACACCTAATTTAAAAACTCCCATAGTGAAATCAGATTTATGCGCTAGAAAACAATGCATGGAAACGATGTATCCTGACATGATGTGTCCGATAGAATTAGAAACTAAAGTTTTCTCCATAGTTATTAACCAAGATATCAAAGTTAGAGTTTCCCCTCAGAAGAAGGCTCGTGTGATCTACATTCCTTAGGGTGGCATTCCTTAAAGATCGGAGAGAAGGTTTGAGTTTTTAATTTGGGGATTCAAAACTTTAACTTGAGGTTGTGGTCTTTAAGTTTATGTTTAATGCATATGTTGACTGAATAATAATTATTTAAACGACAACCTCAACGATTCTCATAAGTGTTATCATTATTGTTTCCGTAATAACGTGAAGTGGATAACGTGAAATGGATAAAATGCTAGGTAATAAATCGATTCTATGGATTAAAACTTGGTAATGACAGCTTAGTAATCCGTCGGAGCAACAAAAAAATGGGGCTTGCCGTTCATTATACACCGAATAAATTTAGACTATGTTAAAACAAAATGTGATTACTTTTCTGCTTTTAGGTTTGTTAGTGTAACCTGGCTGAGGTCTGTAGAAATCGGATGCAGTGTCGTAGACCTCAAACTCTATCTCTGTTACATCCCTACTCCAGTCTTTGGTCCACGACTTGTCTCCACATGTAGCGTCTGAGAAAAGGAAATCGAGCACCTCCACCTCGTCGCAGTGTAGAACCAATCTGATACTCGAGGTCTTAACTAATGTTATTCTCCAGACCTGTTTAGAAGATAATCGTCATGTTCGTGTCTGAGTTCAATTAATGAGTAATTCGGTGGGGCTAATTGCAGATATTTTTTGAATATTTCTGATATTTTTGCGTTTCGTCTTAGCATTCATGGCGCATACCTTTTCCGTATCTGAGGAACTGATATTTACGGGTAAGTCAATGCTATCCGTGCTACAATCCCAAATCCAGAACTTTACGGAAGAGCCGAAACTGAGGTTGATGCCTCCTGCATAGTGTCCCTCTGAAGTGGAAAAGAACACAGTCACCCTATCATTACTATCCAGCTCACTGTTTGTCCTTATCTCCAGAGGTGTGGTCTCCAGATGGTAGTTGTAGTACGCATCACGTTCTATTGACAGCCAGCCTGGTTTAATTGTAAAAATTAAAGCATGAAGGTGTTCATTAGCTGATTATGCAGTGAGAAAGTGAATCTGAATAAACTCAACTAAGTATATCCAGTATACAACTAATCAAACCTTGATAAAATATTACAACACTACAAATCTATTACATTTATTGAGTATCGTGTAGTGGAATGGAAGCATTTTAACCAGGTGTAGTCAGTTCACACCCTCATGGCTCCATAACATGAAGAGTTTGTTTTAATTTTAGATAAAAAGCTCGATCTGGGAGTCGTCGAGGAGAAAGGGCTTTTTTTCTGTGAATCAAAATTTTTGATTTACATGAACATCAACAAAATGTTTGGTAAATGGCGTTGAAGGATGACAATTTTAGATCAGACGGACAATAATCATGAAAAATTCACCTTCATCATCAGCTGTAGAGCCAATGGATAGAAGAGATAACAGAAAGATCATCACCATATATACTGATTCTGTTTAATCTAAACCCTTGTGGTTTGGGATTGTAACAATAACGGGAGAGCTGGGGTAATGTGATAATTTCAATGATAAAGTTTGTGTATACCTAGACGTTGGGTCCAATAAAGAACAACACAACTCAGGGAGTAACAAACTTGAATAACCTTGAATAATATACAATATACATCCAGCTTCAAACACGAGCAAGATACATGTAAAAGCTAACACAAGTAAAATGTCGAGAATCGAGAGTCGAGACAAAATTACTTACTCTTGACTTACAAAAGTTATAAACGAATTTCAAATACTTGTGCTGACTTTTACGAGACATATTTAAAAGTGTGAACCTCAAAAAACTTCAATCAACGAGTACATGCACAGTGTGTATTACACGCAATATCTAGAGAAAGGTGACTAAATGCTTATGGCTACTATAATCGGTACACATTTCGTAGTTCAACATGATCGTGTAAATAACTGAGAGGGTGTAGACTGTAGTTCGTGAGGTAACTTAATATTTAAAATATTTTATGCATAACTTAATCGGTAATACCATAAATTTAGTTTCGATAACCTAAATGTCATTAGTTTCAGTTATATAATGAAAATTATATTGTGAATGAACTGTAGATATTGGTATACCTTATCGGACTTTATTTGGACGGACATTACTTGAACGCTGGAGGCCCTAGCTCGTTCATCTTAATGTCCGTTCAAATAAAGTCCGTTCAATTAATGTCCGTCCAAGTTAAAGTCCGTTGAATTTTTTTCAAAAATTTTTTCATTTCGAACTTTTTGTCCAGAATATGACAATTTTTTAATTTCAGTCAATTTCAATAGCTATCATCAGACTAAACTATATTGTTGAATTAATAAAAACAAGGTATTATAAAATTTTAACAATCTGAATTGTAAATATCACATTATTGCATGATCACTATCTTGAAGTTGATCAGAAGTTCACATATCTTTCTGTACCTGGAAACCAGCCAGTTCATGGGAAGGAGCTGGAGAAGAGAAATCCCTAAAGACAGACACCTTGTTGCTCTGGAGATGAGTGTCTGCAAGGTGGGTGCAAATTTCCTATCTTTCTATCAACAAGGCCGGTGCTTTATATGAATCATAAAGTTATACCTTTATATACCGGGTACCTTGATGTCAATGCTAAATTATGGCCAATATATTCATTTTGTCTGAGATAAGTAAAATGTGTAAATATTTCTCGATATCAGTAGGCAATTAAGATAGATTGAATCAATACTTCACACTGTCGACTAAAATTAAATTTTCGTTTGTATATCCACTAACATCTCTCTATTTCCAAGCCTTCTTCTGTGATCACAGAAGCTACTTTTCCTTTCTTTCTAGTCCCAATTTCGTCGTCATGAACAGTATCAGACAGTATCTGCCCTATTCTTAGCTCAACTCCAAACTCAGTAGGAGTTGTAATCTTCTCGTCTCCGATCTGTGTTGCAGCAACAGCTGCATTTGTTTTTCCTCAGTCACTTCTATATTTTGAAATTCAGTCTCTTCTTGCTGAACCGATCTTGTGCGGAGGCTGTCAAATTCTGATAAATTAGATACATGAGTAAAAAGTTTCTGAACTGGAGCTCCGATCAGTTTTGAAATAGTGTCGCCATTTATCAGTGGATTGATGACTGAGTTTATGGGCAGTATGAGCATTGAAAAGAAGCTGTGGCATCAATGCGTTCCAGAGAGTGTAGAATGCAGATAACAATAAAAGGAATCCAGCATAGGAAGATAGTTGCCACAATAAAAGCTATCTTCCTATTCATTTTCCTTGTCCGTCGAGAGGCCTGCTTTTTAGTCTGGGTATTTGATACGTTTTTTGAGGAGTTGCTGGAATTTAAGGCGATGAGAAGATACGAAGTGGAGATGAAAATGAAGCAAATGGAATTGAGAGCTATATCATTATAGTATGCTCCAGACAAATAGTTTCTGGGGATCGTCTATGTTGACAAAGTATTTAAAAAGACATACTACGTCGTTTCCGTAGAAATTAAGATTGATGATCGTAGCAGTGTGATCTACATACATTCCATCATGTGAGATTTGAGAACATGCCTGCAACTATTTCCCAGCTCAACGTCGTTTCTCTCATACTGCATACGTTCGTAGTACGTCTCCAGAACCGGCAAAATGTCTCTCTTGTTTGCAGTTCCGATAAAAAATCGCAGTTCATCAAGGAATTTAACCCCGTTAACGAAGAAATCTTCAAATATCTCGATGATTGGAATAATGGAAACCGAAATTGATGCAACAAGGAGCAACATTGCCCCTGCTATAAGTTTAGGCGATGTTGGATGTGATCCAAGTTACTCTGCCTGGTGTCTTTTTTGAGTTCCAAACAATACAAAGTCTGACAAAGCTTAACACAGTCATGGAGAATAAATAAATCTGTGATCCGATAGTGCTGACAACGCCAATAACTGAATACTCAGTGCTTGTCATCCACTTCATTTGATCTCTGCAGTATAATCCATCTTTTGAGGTGATGTTAATGTTATCATAGACTGCTATGCTGAGAAGTCGAGAAGATAACAGCCCACTAGGAAGTCACCAAAAGAAATCAAAATCACTAAACATTTGTTGACCATAACAACAGCGTTTTTACTGGTACCCAGCTTGCGTAGAGACTTTATGATTATTAATATTATTACAATAGATAGTTTTTGGGAGTTCCAAATAGTTTCTGATTATTCTGATTTCTTGCGACAAATGATACTGCACTGTTAGAATAAACGACGTTTCAAAGTAACAACTTCGTACTCATGCTAATATTATTATTATATATATTATATATATTATATAATATTATTACGTTTGCGATGATATATAATAATAGCCGATATCCCGATAGACCATGACAGAATTTTAATGATAAGAGTTGCCCAGAAATTTTTTCAGCAGTGATCGTTGCATTCATTTGTGTTATCCAAGCAATCAAATTTCCCATCGCATTTTTTAGTCATCGTTATGAAATCATCTGGATCACATCTGATCGAAGTGATTTGTACCGCTCCTACTAAATCGCTCGCCCAAATTTTAAGAAAATTCTTGTGAAAAGGCCCTTTGGGCATAAAAAGTGATCTGGATGGGTGTATTTTTGGACGCTGATTCCGAATCAACCCCCCCCCCCCCCCCCCCCCCCCCCCCCCCATGACGTAGGGTTAAAATGCTTCCCTGGAGAGTTATGGGCAAAAAACCATTTTGGTCACGTGACAGGCTAGTAAAATACGAATTCGATTGTTTAGGGCCCGGGTTAGGGTTAGAGTTGTGGTAAGGGTTATGGTTAGCTTCGGGGTTATGGTTAGGATGATAATTAATCACTCTACACTCGACTGTCACGTGACTTTTTCAACCCGTTCTCTAGCTGGTCCTGAACGACTATTCGAAACCCTAACCCTCTTATTTGATCCCAACCCTAACCCTAACCCAATCCTTAACAAAAGCATATGCTGAAACCCTAACCCTAACGAGAAATTAGACTAACTTCCTTATACTGTATACGGTCATATCACGTGATCGAGACAGTTTTTCGCCTATATCTCTTCAGGGGAGCATTTTAACCCTATGTCATGGGGGTGATTCGGAATCAGCGTCCGAAAATACATCGATTGAAGTTGGTTTCAACTGTCGGGGGCCCTTTTAGAACAATCTCGAACTCGAAGATCGACTGTATGTAGAATGATTTAGTACGCTTGTTATGGTTAGGGTTAGTATAGGATTGGGATTAGGGTTTATGTAAAACCGTTTTGTACGGCTGCAAAACCATAAAAACCAAAGTCACGTGAAATTTTCATTTGATGCATCGCCACAATAATATAGCATCAACCCAATCACAAACTTGGAAATACTCGATACATTTTAGTTTGTTATTAATATTACGAACAAAATTATATTTATTAATATAAATATTGTCTGGAGACCTGATAAAAAACGTACAAGATAATAGTAATTGTTGGAAACTAATCTAACATACATATAGTATTATTGGATGTGCAGCGTGGCCCAGTTGCTAATTGTCCATTGTTAATGGACTAGCCCGGCGCGCGCTACTTTATACCGCTACTTTATAGCACTTACTTGCCGTTGGCCTTGACCATTGGTAATGGTCTGGCCCGGCGCGCTACTTCGTAGCACGTGCCATCGGGCCATAACATTTCGAGAAGAAAGCGGCGCGCGCTACTTTGACGGATGTTACTCGTCTAAATTGCTTGACGGATGTTACTCGTCTAAATTTCTTCGAAGTAGCGCGCGCCGCTTTTTTCTCGAAATGGCCCGGTGGCAAGTGCTACGAAGTAGCGCGCGCCGAGCCAGATCATTAACAATGGTCAAGCGCTACCTCGAAAAAATTTAGACGAGTCACCACGTGATACAACGTCCTGGTAGGTTGTAAACCTAAAATTCCTAATATTGACCGCGGTCGACGAGTCCAACCCAGCTAGTGCGCATTTTGGTAGGGTATAAACCTACAAGCTACTAGTATTTTGAAAATTTAAACAAGTTATATCATTTGTCAAGATTTAAAAATTGAGCGGTTTTGTAATTTTTTGTCGATTTCACATTCAACATTGGAATAGAACAGTAACAAATATTAAAAATTTAAGCACGATTCTTTAAAAATTTAATGAATGCAGCCCACATACAATTTAATGTACACGTTTTGAGTTTATATTTGTATCAGAGGTGCGAAAAGGAACTTTGTTAATAATGTAATCTTGATTTGAACTTGGAGCCACAAGGCCAGGGTGATTTTCAAATGTTTCCTCGCTGTATCGTTGCCCAAACATTTTAGGCAACTTATTAGCTAGCATCTTTTAAAAGATATTAGCCTCTCTTCCATTCCACCGTTGTTAATACTGTTCTTTTGTCAGACATATTAATCAGTTGGTCTGTCGACAGTCGAGATGGAGGCTTATAGAATATATTGGAGACCAGTATATATATATTTTACTAACTGCATTTAGCTAGTTTATAGTAAATACACACGATCGCAGAATAGAGGAGTACAATTGGGCTCTTTGTTCTGTGACCGTGTTTCCTCGGTGGGCCGACAGGTTTTTGTTGTGTAGTAGTGCTGGGGAAAAAACACGCTTTAACTATCAATGAGAGTAAATATTTTTAATTCTCGACCTTAGTGTGAAGGTTAAATGACATGAGGGGCTCTGCCTTGACAATTTTATATTCTAGTACACTAGCACTTGTTATTTGGGTTAATGGTTAATGGTTATGATAGTTAAAATATGACCATAAGCATCATTTAAAACCAGAAATCAATATATATATATAATGCTGTACAATGTGGTGAAGGCCCGATATTTGCAGCTTTTCTGTAGAACAGAAATATCAGTAAAACAAAAATATAATTTGTATGCCAATTTTATTCTTTCTTAAAGTTAAGTTGTTTGCCCCCTGGAAATAGACGAACAATCAACAAATAACTGCGACTGTGTCATTGCCCCAGTATTATGCCCAATTTTGTCATAGAATTAGCATATCCAATATCCATGGCAATAATGATTGTTCCCCCACGAAATCTACATGCATTTTCCTGAAGTTACTCCACAATAATTTATTTTATACTGCCTTCAATTATTAAGGGGGGGGGGGGGGGGGGGGGGGGGGGGGGTTCACCCTGATTTTTTTGTGAAACTTGGTTTCGAGATAGCAGTTGATCAACAAACTAAGACCGGTGACCGAACTTGTGAGGGGGTCCCGGACCCCAACCGCCAAACGGTGCCCGCGGGGCAGCCACGCCCATATTTGGTCCAAATTAGGCCCAATTTAGCCAAATACCCTGAACATGCCCAAAATACAGATTTTAGGTGCTTTACTTGTAGCTAGTGGTCTCCTGAACTCGTATATGAATTTTCATCAAGATTGGACAAAAAATGACTGAGTTATGAGCCAAAAACCATATGACCATATTTGGGCATACGCTCCAAAATTCATAGATTTTGGCCCATTAATTGGTCAAATATCATTATTTTTGAATGAAACCAACTTTATATGGAAGGTAAGCCTATACTACACATTCTCTATGATTATCAGCTTAATATCTACCTAACTGTGGATTCTGTGTTCAAATAATCGCAAAAAAAGAACAAAATCGCCTATATCTCAGTTCGCGATATTTGCAAAAACTGATTTCGCTCAAAACAATAGAACTCAATAGGGTTTCAATATTTTTACATGAAATTTTCAGAATCAACGTAGAATCGCATTTCGACCTTAAGTTTTGTATTGGAATTTTGAGTTAGGCCTTTAAAAAAATTTGGCGGCCAAATTCCAAATTTTGCAATGCGAAATTCAGAATTTGGCCGCCAAATTTTTTTAAAGGCCTAACTCAAAATTTCAATACAAAACTTAAGGTCGAAATGCGATTCTACGTTGATTCTGAAAATTTCATGTAAAAATATTGAAACCCTATTGAGTTCTATTGTTTTGAGCGAAATCAGTTTTTGCAAATATCGCGAACTGAGATATAGGCGATTTTGTTCATTTTTTGCGATTATTTGAACACAGAATCCACAGTTAGGTAGATATTAAGCTGATAATCATAGAGAATGTGTAGTATAGGCTTACCTTCCATATAAAGTTGGTTTCATTCAAAAATATTGATATTTGACCAATTTATGGGCCAAAATCTATGAATTTTGGAGCATATGCCTAAATATGGTTATATGGTTTTTGGCTCATAACTCAGTCATTTTTTGTCCAATCTTGATGAAAATTCATGTACGAGTTCAGGGAACCACTAGCTACAAGTAGAGCATCTAAAATCTGTATTTTAGGTATGTTCAGGGTATTTGGCTAAATTGGGCCTAATTTGGACCAAATATGGGCGTGGCTGCCCCGCGGGCACCGTTTGGCGGTTGGGGTCCGGGACCCCCTCAAAAGTTCGGTCACTGGTCCTAGTCTGTTGGTCAGCTGTTATCTCGAAACCAAGTTTCACAAAAAAATCAGGGTGAACCCCCCCCCCCTTAATGTTTTTTAGATTTTTCTATGTAGTTGAATTGATTCGCCAATTTGTTTTAGCTTCATGTTATGGCTGAAATCCTGGATGAAGATATTCTAGCCAATATATACTCTGAAGCCAAGAAATGCGAAGAAGATGGGTTTTTAGATGAAGCACTCTCACTTTACCAAGACGCATTCAATCTCCGAGAATCAGAGTTTTCAAAACTAGCTATTGATAGACTGTCAGATATGATAAATACTAAATTGGCTTCTAACTTTGATGCATCACTTCATCTCAAAGCATCTCCACGCTTCCAGTCTACCCCATACTCCACTCAAGTAGATGATGTAGCTTTAAATGGACCATCTGTTTACGGTGGTTCAAGGACAACACCTGTAAGATCAGTCTTAAAGAATAAGAACTTGAACATAAGTGGTATTAGTCAGCCAAACAATATGACAATAGCAGTACAAGAAGGTGAACAATCATTTGATGCTGGCCATTACAACAACCTCATAATTGAAGCTCGCTCACTTTATAAGAACAGCAAGCAGCTTGAGAAAGCCCTTGAAAAATACAATGAAGCTTATTCCTTACACCAAGATGCAAAATTGTACAAACGGATACTAAAAATTAACCAAGAGCTAAAATTAAAGCAGGTTCAGACATATGTTGAAACGTCAGCAAAAGAATCAGAATCTGATAAGGAGGACCTGATCGATCAATATAACAACCTTGTTATCAATGCTAAAGCTTGCTTAGAATCTGACAGAGCAGATGAAGCTCTTCGACTATATCAAGAGGCTTACAAGGTTGACCCTTCTGAAAAACTTCTTCAAAAGATAACTAAATTAGAAGAGGAATTAGCTCCGGCTGATAACAGCACTAGTGTAGACGTCGAGCAATACAACAATCTTATCAAGGAAGCAAAAGCAAAGCTGAAGGAGGAAGACTATGAAGGTGCCCTTTTGAAGTATGAAAATGCAAATGAGATTAATCCTACGGAGAAGCTGCAAAAGAGAATAGACAAGATCAAAGACTTCATTGAAAATGATGATGAAGAAGATGATGATGATGATAATTATGAGCAGGTCACTCCAACAAATGATCCTTATCCATCAAACGATCAAGATTTGAATAAGTCTGTTGTTAAATCTGAGGTTGATGAACATTGCAATAGCTTGGTTAAGAATGCTCAAATTTGGGAGGGGAAAGATATGTTGAGTGAAGCATTAGATGCATACAGAGAAGCTCAAAATTTAAAGCCCTGTCCTTATTTTGTTCAGAAGATCAACGATTTAGAAAAGAAGCTTGTTATCAATGATAACAATGAAAATGATGATGAATCTGAGCTAAATGTTGAACATTATAATCAGCTCATTATCCAAGGAAGGGAGCATCTTAATGATGGCAATTTGTCAAAAGCTTTAGAAGCTTACAATGAGGCGCATAATCTGAATCCCTCTGAAAAGCTTTCAAAGAGGATCACAAAAATCGAACAAAAGTTGTCTGCTGAATTAGAAAAGGAGGATGAAGAACCGGAGATAGATGATGAAATCAGGGATTATTATGAAGCTACCATTGCAGACGCCAAGAACAAGGAAGACAAACTTCTGTACGATGAGGCAATCGCTCTTTATGAAGAAGCTCATGAACTGATTCCAAGTGACAACATCTCCCAAAAAATTGCTAGTTTGGAATTTAAAAGGGACTCCGAAAGAGATCCTCAAGATCACAAGCCATCTTCAGTACAGAGCCTCAATGATCTATCGGCTGATGACAAAGCAAAGTACAATGAGTTGATAGTCAAAGGGAAATATGCTCAGAAAGAGTCAAAAATTGAAAAGGCTCTCAGTTATTACAAAAAGGCTGCTCAAATTTATAAGAATGAGAAACTGGGTACTAGAATACAGAAACTGGAAACGTTTTTGAAAGAGGAAGCTGAGAACGAAAATCTCTACACGGATATTGGTGATGGCCTTTTCCTTACAAATGATATCCACGACAAATTGTATCAATACCAGAGGGAAGGTGTGAAATGGATGTGGGAGCTTTATCGAGCTGAGCATGGTGGCATTCTTGGAGATGATATGGGTCTTGGTAAAACGATTCAAACAATAGCTTACTTGCAAGCCCTGTTTCTGATGGAGGAAATTTCGACAGCCATGCTGTGTATGCCTCTGTCACTTATCAATAACTGGCAGGTAGAATTCAAAAAATGGGCTCCAGAAATCCGTGTTGAATTGTTTCATGGCTCAAAGAATGAAAGAGAAAGAAATGTTAAGAAAGTCATCAAAAGAGGGGGTGTTATCTTGACGACTTACGGGATTATCGAGAAAAATGTAGAGTTCTTGGTTAACACCTCGTTCAAGTGGGACTATCTTGTGCTGGATGAGGGTCACAAAATCAAAAATCCCACCAAAACCAGTAAAGCTATGAGAAATGTGCCGTGTAATCATAGGCTCCTTATTTCTGGTACACCTATTCAGAATAATTTAAAAGAACTTTGGGCTTTGTTCGACTTCGTGTCCAGAGGTAAACTTTTGGGAACCATGACAACTTTTAAGATGAACTATATAACACCTATCGAAAGAGGTAGAGAAAAAGATGCCTCCAAAGGGGAAGCTAAACTTGGAGCTAAACTTGCAGAAAATCTCAGAAAGGTGATTGACCCCTATTTCTTGCGTCGGACAAAGGCTGAAATCAAGAAAAACGGCAATGATGCCTCCAGCGGAGTAAGCAAGCTTGGAAAAAAGAACGAGCTGTGTGTCTGGCTCCAGCTGTCAAATGTGCAACTCAACCTCTACAAAGCTTTTTTGACTCTCGATTCAGTTCGGGATGCAATGAACTCTTCTAAATCCCCACTCGCTGCACTTACTGTTTTAAAGAAGATATGTGATCATCCCAGACTTGCTACCAAGTTTGAGGCTCTACGAGAAGTTATGGATGCAGAAAGTATGAGCATGAAGTAAGTTTTAAAAGTTAGAGAAAGGAAATTAGTCTAGTTGTGTTGTACTTTCTTGTGACTTTGACTTTCGAGTTAATACTCGTGATGTTAATAAATCTGTTAACTCAATTATTTCAGACCTGAGGATCATCAGAAACTCCTTTCAACAGTTGAGCTTCCTAAAGATCCAACGGATGACATTCTTCAAAGAGAAAGCTGTAAACTAGAGTTTGCTCTAGGATTGCTGGATCTTCTGGCTGCAGATGGACATAGAACACTTTTATTTTCAACCTCTCTCAAGATCCTGAATTATATCCAGTCGATGATAGCTGACAAGGTATTAAATAATAGATAAATATCTTCACATGTAAATTCTAACGTTTTGCTTTTCGAATAAATTCATTTCACGTCCGTTCAATTAGATATTTATCGAATTTTCAGTTCGTCATTACTTATTATACCGTAATATTCCTCTTATATATTTAACTGCAGGGTATGCAATATTTGCGGATAGATGGTTCCATCAACAAGCCAGGTGACAGACAGGCAATAATCGACTCATTCAACACTGACATGAGATACACTGTTTTATTACTGACAACTCAAGTTGGAGGTGTTGGGCTCAACCTTACCTCCGCTGATAGGGTTATCATCTGTAAGTTATTGTCATTTCTGTCGTCCTTTTTGTAAGTTTGGGTGTTGTGTGATCGCTTTTAGCAGCATTCTTTCGAAATTGAACGGTAAATTATCACTGAAACTGTAGGAAACTCAAGCAATGGGACGATGTTTGACTGCCATTCTGTACTTAATGATAAAGCTAATATTTACTGTGTACTATAACAGCTGCTCTTACATAAAACTAACTGATATAACGTTTGCAGATGATCCTAGCTGGAATCCAGCTACTGATGCCCAGGCTGTAGACAGGTCTTATAGGATAGGACAAACAAAACCAGTCATTGTCTACAGGCTTCTTACCAGTGGAACTATCGAGGAGAAAATTTACAGGAAACAAGTGTTTAAAAACAGCATCACCCGGCAGGCCACTGGAGAATCATTAGATCCAATCAGGTATGCTACTTGTCACCTCAATTCAAAAATGTTGTTTTTAAGAGCAGGGAACAGGCTTTAGTTTCTAAGAAGGCCTTCCAACCCCCTTATAAGATTTTCCAAGCTTTTAAACTTGGTGTCCAATATACTTTTGCCAGTAAATGTTATTCAAGGGATTGTATACAATAACAATTAATTTTAAAACGTGCAGGTACTTTACGAACCAAGAGATCTCACAGTTATTTGAGCTGGGGAACACTTCGGTGAGTGAAACCTGTACTCAACTTGAGGAACTGCACGGAGCTGCCAGGAATCATTCTGACCAAGTTAAGAGTGACTTGAAGGCTATCGAGGAAATGGGTAAGTTCGTCCACTGAAATCTAACTATCCTACATTAGTGAGTTTCAATGAGTCAAGGCATAAACTAGTTGGTTTAAAAAAAGTTTAACAACATTCCCAATTAAACAGCTTAATTTGGTTATAGTTTTAAGTTTTAACGTATTGTTTTGCTAGGTGCCATTGCCTGCAGTGACCATGATTTACTCTTTTCACATGAGGAAGTAGTGGAAAATACTCCCGAGGAGCGCCAGTTCGTAGAGGACAGGGTAAGATCCCTTCTGTTTAATACGGTCAGAATTAGTTGTTCAAACTTACCGCCCCCTATAAAATGTATCTCAGATCAATAAAAATTTGTGTCATCAGACTTGAACTCTTTTGAAGGATCAACAAGAATTGTTCTTGAACTGTCACAATAACACTTGAACTGTCACAATAACACTGTCACAATAACACTGTCAAAATCACTGCATTATGTAGCGCGCGAACGCCTAACCTCTTAATTGTTGATTCGCGCGAAATTCAAAATCTTAAATTTATTTAAATTATTAGCTCATCGCATCGCGCGCGTCGACCTTATCACATGTTAATATGATATATGATATAATTACGTTATGACTTTATGAGTTCAGCCATACATGTCATGTCGGTTGTGATTTGTGAAAATAGGAAACACCTGGATAAGAATAGGATCACATCGAATCACCAAGTGTATAATGACTGATGAGTCACGACTCCAGCTAGTTTTTCTAGCTTCAGGGGAGGTACAGCTTTTCAGAAGGACGATTTCTGCGATTTCAATCAGATAGGATATCTCGGATTTTATCAATCCTTACGCCGATCCGGCTCCCCTGACCCCTAGGATACAGCTGAGCGGCGATAGGATGTGTAAGTTCCGAGAGGCGATAGGATTCGCTCTCGGACCCGATAGGAAACGTAAAACCTATCGGATCCGAGCGCTAATCCTAGCGGAGAAATGATTTAACGATTCTGGTCATGCTGTACAGCATGACCAGATGGCGAACTCACCTGCTTGCCAAATTGCTTTAATTGTGGTCTGAAGTAAGTACTGGGTTCCTGGATAGGGTTCTCAGTATGGTCGCAGGCTCTAATCTCATTCGACAGCAGGCTACTGTAACTGATCAAAACGAAAGTCTAGAGAACACCTGAACGTTGCCGCGATTTTCACGAAGTTGTCACACACTGTTTAAATCACTCGATTACCGTGTATGATAAATTAATTACAGGTATCCGATACAGTTCGACTCCATTTAATGGATGTATTTGCAGGTACAACAAGCGAAAAGGCACATGGCTGCTGAAGCAGCGGCAGCTGGACCAGTTCCGTTCCCTAACTACACAGCCCCTAATCGCAACACACACAACCCTAACCCAGGAGCTACTGCTGTGCCACTAGGTGGGGGAATGAGAGCACCTTGGGAGCCTACTAGAGGGCACAGTATGTGGAATAATAAGGAGGCGGAAGTTGAGGCTGTTCGTAAAGATATCGAGAGGGTCGAGATAAGAGCTAGAGAGTCTCCTTATTTCAAAGAATCGGAGGGCAGGACAGCAGAGGTCATAACAATTGACGATGATGATGATGAAAACGAAGTTCAAGTCAAGGAGACTAAAGAAGCGAAGAAACTTTCATTGACTGATTACAAAAACAGACAGATGAAGATATTCGATTATGTCGACAGTCCGACCCAAGAATCTCGTGAAATCCCAAGTAGTCCTACCTTCAAAAGCCCAAGTAGTCCTACCTTCAAAAGCCCAAGTAGTCCTACCTTCAAAAGCCCGGTCAGGCCAAGAAGGTCCATCAAGAAGAACGTGGTTACACCTAGGAAATCGCTCAGTAATCCAGTGGGTCAGATAATCGCTAACCATATCCAGAACACTCCTAAAAAGAAGTCTGCATATAGTGACGATGAAGTTGAAGATGATCTGGAGAATTCCAGGTATGACAACCTGAACAAGCCGCCTTGTTTGGACGATTCTGAAGATGAGGATGATTATTATGATGGTCAAGAAGAGCAAGAAGCAGATGAAGAACACGAACAAGAATCCAAAGAGGAGCAAGCGGCCGATGTTGATGACGATGAAGAATATGACGAAGAGGAAGAAGAGGAAGAAGAGGATGAAGAGGAAGAAGTCGTAGAAGTCGTAGAAGTGGAAGAAAAGGTTGATGATCTAGAAGGCTTAGTCAAGAGCTTAAAGTTCAACTCGCCTCACAGCTCGGATCAGCCAGCTAATCAGCAAATTGAAAAGACTACGGAGATCAATCGGAGACCACCCTTGGAGCCCAAAAACCTCTTAACTGAGAAACTCAAAACACAGGCCACAGAATCTGAAGTTAGAACTCCAAACCTTCATCAACTTGACCCTCGGCAACAAGATCAGTCCAAGTCACAGCCGAGAAAAGAGGAAAAGTCAAAAAGAAGTTCAAAAGTCGACAAAGAGAACAAACAACCGGCCTCATCTAAATCCTCCAACTCAGGTTTTTACAGGCTACAGAGTTTTATATCTTCAGTTTGTTTTACAGAACAAAGGTCAGCTACCTTTATCTTGAACTTCAATTACAATTTAAAATTTAAGAACCTAAAATTCTGTACTACATTTGAATAATTTCATTTTCAATTCAGTGAACTGTACGTGCGGCCGTTTACAAGCTGCGTTGGCAAAAGGATACAAAGTGACGAAATGCAAATGTATGTGCAGTCCTACTGAGGACGAAAAATACAATCGATATCTTGAACGTGGACTGTAAGTTTATCGAAATTGATTTGGAATAAAAGTATTTTGGAATACTTTAAACTTAAACTTTATGACTTATACTCAGAATCAATAATTCAATTTATCTTTCAACATATTAAAATCAAGCTGCACAGTTAAACGCTACCTTCGTTTGCAAAATAACGTTATCAAAATAATTTCAGATATTTTATCAGTAATTTTATATCGAAAAACACCAGGGAACATCAGAAAGCCGGTAACGCAGGAAAAGCTCTACAGTATTACAAAGCAGCTCTTCAGTACAGAAATGATGATACCATTGTGCAAAAGGCGTATCTCACACTTAAAAAGCAGCTGAAGAGCTAGTGAGTGGTAACTGGAACGAACTCTAATTCAGGAAAAATTCAAACTGAAGCTACAGTCGTGGCGACTTTCGGATGAACATAAAAGAGAATTGTGAAGGAGATGTGTTTGAATCCTTTAGTTTTAATACATCGAGGAAAAATCGTAAGGAAGTAATGTCTGCTTTGAACTGTTACTCATTTGAGCTAAATTGAAAGATTGTTATTTATTTTATGTTAGCTAATGAAGCACAAAAAGACCGAATATATACTAGATTTCAAAACAACTAAACATCACGCCAAGATTAATCAGTCCTCTTCGTTAACATTAGTTAATATTAATGGTGGCAGCTTTATCCTGCTTACTCTCACCGTGCTAGTAGACCTTGCATTCTCTGTAATGAGTTGTTTTTAAAATTGAATTTCTTAATGGACAAACGTTATTTTAAGTACTTAGTCTTGAAGCCAAAGTGGTTGGCTGGAATTTAGTCTTTTATCTGAAATAATTCTGTATCTTATGTATTTGATCAAAATGTGAATTTTAGCTAATTTTGTTAACACCTTACGTAATGGCATGCCTTCGTCCTCATGTTGAACATTTTCTCCCTTCCTGTAATAAAACCCAATGAAACCATTCATCAACCTATAATTTGGGTGGCTTCAAACAAAAGGAGTAAGAAAATTGATAGTCAAGGTACCACAACTTGTAGACTTTGGAAGTGAACGTATCTTAGCAAGACGATAGTATGCTATTATTCCTGCTGTCACTTACTCAGTTTCGCTGGGAAAGTTAAGTAGACGGATTATAACAGATTCCCGGCTTGTTTGATCATCGAACCAAGATGAGTCTGCTTTTCTTGACATTACTTTTCTTTTTCTTTGTCCGAATAGCTCGTAACTTTCATCCTTCGGACAATCAGAAATTAGTTTTATTAAACCATGCACTAACGGAAAAATTAAAAATACATCTTCTCAGTTCTATACTATAGATAAGCATGATTGTTTTCTGAGCTTACTTCAGACATAGATATAGGAGGGAGCGACACGTAGTCTCCATCAACTCTCTGCCGGTTCAGTCTGTGCAGCTGTCTTGTCAGTTTCCCTTCCGTCCTCTTCAGCTCCTTCTCCTGCTGCCTCAACAACGTCATGTTCCCTTCATGCTCCTGAGAAGTGAGAGTGATCAGTCTCAAATAAAGGAATAACCGCAGTTTGGTATTTATCCAAGAAATTATTCATTTTATCTATGAACAAAATGGAGACAGTCACTTCGCTAGTCTTCTCCATCAGGAACAGTTAAAACATTTTAAGCCTTTGTCGCCATAAAGAACTCATAGAATCAAGCAGCAATATCAAACACGTAATGCCGGAGCCTGAATTATTTATTCCGAAAGGAAAATACGACGAGCTACCTTCTCGATTCCGAGAATATATTTAGAAAGTTTTCTCTCCTGGTACTCGTTCTGTTTCTTGGCACTGTCCTCCAGCCTGTGACTTCGCTCCTTTATCGCCTTCAGGTTACAACGGTCCTGAAGTCGAGAATTGAATATCAGCTAACTTCACCTATCATTGATTCCTAACTTCCTGTTGATTGGAGAGCGAACTTATTTACATAGTGCTGTTTCCTGACAGTGTATTCTAGTGGGAGGTGAAGCATATTTTTGGCACGTGCAGTGATCTGGGGGACGGGGTTTGACTGGTCAATAGTGGTAGATGATTGGTTTATTGCTGTCACGTGTCAAAACGATATACCTGACCTCCCCACCATGCATCAGAATCCACGTCTATATTTAATCAAAGCAAAATATTTTTCCAGTTAATCAAATCAAAACATGAAAAAAGAAGTGTAACAAAAAGATTAAATTATGACATTACTGGCCCCATAACAACTGTGCGAACAATTTAAAGAACTTGTAAACTTGTGTTACTTGTCATGGTGCATCAAACACCACCACCCCGGTTCAGTACGGATTTAATGGGGGATGCGGGGAGTAATACTGGACCATGTTATGTGAACTGTGGTCTGCACTCATATTAGTGTGGTGGAAGACATCACATCGTATTTGTTTTGATAATGATACTGAAACAGTTGGGGGGGGGGGGGGGGGGGCGTCCAACCCGATTTCCGATATGAGGGTTGATGAGGCCAAAATCGGAATCGGAAAAATAGGAAAATTGAGAAATTTACTGAATCGATCTCTAAAACCTCTCAGAAGTGATATAATTTAACCAGAACCCCTACATATGCTATGTATGCTATATGAAAACGAACCAATTGTACATTCCAATAGTATGTTTTATGTGTATTCCCATTTCCCACTGCATGCATGATGCAGGGGCTAGTATGCTCACTACTAGTTGGAGTTATCATGTACTCCCAGACCCGAGTGCTTTGGTCTCTTGTGAGATCGATTGTTTCTGCTCATTGATTCTATCCCTGTTACTTGTTATTATGTATTAGTAGTAGTACAACACTGGGTACCGGGTTATATTTTGTGGTCCGGTCTTTAAACATACCATAATATCACTATACTTAGTATACTGCACCTTAAGGCCACAGGGGGGGGGGGGGGGTCGAGGCCTCAAAAAATGCAAAAAAATATTATGCTTTGAATTAATATATATTTTTGTGGCGGATACTTTGCCACCACTCATTTGTCTGTAGCTATTTTACTTTTTTTAATAAATGAGGTTAACCAATTCTTCCGAAATTGGCTATGCAATATTGAGGGTAACGAAATTGATGCCTAGAATTGATTTCATGCCAAGATATTTTGTTGTTTCGATCAACAAATAATGAATCCTAATTCTGTTTCGCAATTGGTTGAAAATGAAGGACCCAAAGTGGGTAAAAACGAGGTTAACCTCTTATTTCATTGATATCGAGAAGGACTGAGATGAAAGTTATCATCATTCATAAAGTAAGTTCAGTGCATTTTAATTTCAAAACGTATCTCGTACTAATGTATTACTTCAAATCTACAGAAAATCTAAAAAATGAGGTTAACCAGGTAAATTGTGACCACTATAAAACATACATAATTGTCTAATTTTTAATCGAACTCAAGACATTAGTAAGTTATATATTTGCTGGGAAGATTGATCACGAGAAAAATATGATTTGAAACAACTATTCCTTGCAAGCAATATTGACCATTAACATACGATAAAATGAGGTTAACCAACTTATTTCAATTTGTAATACAGCAACTTTAATGGAACCTTAATAGCGGTTAACCTCACATTTGAATATCAGTTAACCTCAAATTTGCATCATTAATATGCAGTACTTGCAGGAAATGGTGTTTCAGGGATTTAATCTCCTTAAGTGTATCAAAAACTACAGTATATAACATATGGAACTACAAATACAAGCCATACCATGTGTTTAGTGACTAAAGTTAACCTCATTTTTTTGATGAATCGATGATGGAGGGCAGAAATATTGATGCCATTACAACTGAAAACTACTATTAGTTTTGTTTTTATAGTTTTTGTGTTATATCAGCAGTTAAACTTTGAGAAATATACAAATAAAGGCAAAATACTCAAAAATCACAAAACATAAAAAACTAGGCTATCCATTATCGGTATGAAATCTTTTATCTAGATAAACAGATAAAGATTTAGGTTTTATCTAGATAAAACCGATAAAACCGATAATTTTTCTGCTGAAGGCCAAAGCCTAAATGTTTTCCAAATTTCGCAAAAACTAATTGTCGACTTTTATTACTGTTTACCAGTAATCTTGCTAAAGTACCACTTCCTTTCTTTTGAAAATATTAGAGCATCAGTTTTCTTCTCCGGGGAGCAGAAGTGCACCAGTTTTCTTCAAAACAGTAGACCAACGGTTTTCTTCGCCTAAGAACAGTAGTGTACTACCAGTTCTCTTCAAAACAGTAGACCAACGGTTTCTTCTCCTGAGAACAGTAGTGCACCAGTTCTCTTCAAAACAGTAGACCATGAACGGTTTCCTTCTCCTGAGAACAGTAGTGCACCAGTTCTCTTCAAAACAGTAGACCAAGGGTTTCCTTCTCCTGAGAACAGTAGTGCACCTGTTCTCTTCAAAACATTATCTGACCAAGGGTTTCCTTCTCCTGAGAACAGTAGTGTACTACCAGTTCTCTTCAAAACAGTAGACCAACGGTTCTCTTCTCCTAAGAACAGTAGTGCACCAGTTCTCTTCAAAACAGTAGACCATGAACGGTTTCCTTCTCCTGAGAACAGTAGTGCACCAAATACCAATTCTCCTCGAAACAGTAAAGCATTTAAAGTGATTCAGTGAACCGTTTTCTTATCCTGTTGATAACTTGGAGCAACAGATTCCTACTCCTGAAGACAATGTTTCACGCCCAGAACACTTACGGAATTCAATTGAGTGCCCTGCCGGTATTTTTGACTCTCGTTAACAGTAACATGCTCGTTCCCGTCTCCAGAATGATTATAAGGTAAAACGCCAGCACTCTCAAGAGAACAATGTCAATAACCTTCTCTGGATTTCAACAGTTCATACAGTTCTACAGTTCCAAAGGTATACAAATGTAAATAAACCTCTTAAGCTCACATCTAAGTAAACTACCTCTTCTATCATACTAGAAGACGTTTGGGACTGTTTCTTGGATTACTTAGGAAGGCAAAAACACTGATATTTCTTTACAATTTTACGGTATTGTGGAAGTATTTTCGGTAATATCTAGTGAATTTTTATACCGATAACAATATGTTTTATCTAGATAAACAGATAACTTTTTTTAACGAATTATCGGATATAATTATCGGTTACGATTATCGGAGTGGATAGCCTATAAAAAACAGTTTTTTGCCTCTCCTGAAAACCTCGAATTTTAGACTTTAAAATCTATCTTCTCCTAGAGCTTTTATCCAATTCACCTCAAATTTGGAACATACGTTCCTGACATAAATTTAAAAGTTTGTTATGTAACGATTGTTGTAATTTTGCTCCTAACTCTTTTTATGAGGTTAACCGTTTTAAATTTTGTAACCCGTACTTATGGTTAACCTCATATCTCAGCTTTGGAGCAAGATATCAAAAATCGTTACATAACAAAAACTCAAAATACCTTGAAAAACATTTTTGCCAAGTTACAAGGTTCTAAGTCGTAAACTGTAAAAGAAGATAGATTTTGAACACGATTTCATTTAAAGTTTTCATTTACAATAGAATTACAGGTAAACCTCAAAATTCAACGCGCGATATCTTCAAATAGGAAAGTTTGTTTTCAGTAAGGACAAAAGCATTTGAAAATTTAGATCGAGCTCTACAACATATCTCAAAATCTCAAAATTGACCTCGGACCCCCCCCCTGTGGCCTTAAATGTATAGTCAAGTACGTTTGTAGCGTGATCGGTGGTACATGCTTGGCTTTAATAAACATGTCTGTAGGTACATATATAGTAAACTATATGGCAACACATAACGGTCCATGGCAAGTTTAAATTATTATCTAATGTGCATCAGTATTGTATAATCCAGTGTCGAAAATTGTTTCTTCCATTCAATATAAAGTTTTGCTTTATTCTTTATTTATCGTCTCAATTTTGTACATTTTGTGTGGTTATTTTTTCTCAAATTAGTTTTGAAATTTCTTGTTCATTGTAATTGATCAGTTTGTGCAGGGCGTTGGCCTCTGCTTTTCTGTTAATCTCAGAATTCTTTTCACTATATCTTCTTCCAGGTCTCATGCCAAAATATACTGATATGGTGGAGACACCTTCACCACCTGGTATTACCAGTCAGAAAACAGCCCGATCAAACAAAATAGCAACCAGAAAACAGCCCCAGAATAAGGGCAACAAACTGAAGATAAAACTCCGTGGCCGTCTCATAAAGAAAGGAAAAGTTGAACAAAGCACCAACAAGAAACCTAAAGATTTATCCGAGAAGAAGGCACCAGATGTTGGCAGTGCATCCGGAAAATCCAAGCTTAATCCTAGAAAGAAGAAAAGAATTGCTACGATATCATCAGACTCAGATTCAGAGGCAAATGTGCAGCTGAACAAGAAAAATGTAAAGGATTTGTCACAGCGCCAAAAACTTAAAGCTGTGACAAATCCTTTACATAAAGAGGAAGGACAAACAAGAATACAAACAGCGAAAGACTTTATGGCTATCGTTAAAACAGCTAATTTCCTTGCTAAACTCGATAAAGACCCCACGTATTCAGATATAAGCAAAGTTTTTGCCAATTTTGATATGACCCTATCCAAAACTGTTATTGATGATGTTTTCAAACGGCGTTTTACAAAAAAACCCAGTAAGAAACTCCATTTATTTATGAAAGGGGCAATTCATGGGTACCCCGAAAATCTTAATCGATTTCAGTATCGGCGAAAGCCGCAGAACAGACCTGTGTTGAAACCCACACCGGAGCCTGAGAAGACTACAAGAAAGTTTGAAAGTTTCAAAACTTGCAAAGAAGCACTCTGGACTTTCTTATGCAACAGTCTTTTCACTCGGCATTACTGCCATAGAAAAGTTTGGTCCTCACGTCCTTGATGACGATTATAAGTTGGAAGCTCTTGTAGAGGCAGAGCTATGCAAATGGAGGCAAGATAAACTTCTATTCTCATTCGGAAATCTCCCATCGGCTGAAAAGATAAGTGTGCCAGAGGCTGTCACAGAAGTCAGCAACCTTCTCGTGATTAGACTTAAGACTACTGTAGATGAGCTCAACAATCCAGTCTCTCAGGGCTGCGGTTCAGATCAATCGGACGGTGATCGTGTGTTTAATTTTTCATTTATAGAATGATTTCAGTACTGACACTTTTTGACTAAACCCAGATTGCCGTGATCAGACATCGCATCAGCATGTGATTATGGTGGTCAGCTTTTTTACTACATTAAATGAAATGGTACTGTAATCTGTATCATGTATATATTGCTCTGACCACACCTTTTTTAATGATTCATCAATTTGTTGTTCCATGCCAGTACAGTGGCATATTAGATTTGGTTTTTAAATATTTAGATTTTTAAGTATCTTATTAGATTTTATGTTGTTAAATTGGTTTTTTAAGTTATTAAATTGGTTGTTTGACTGACTTTTTTTGATTGTTTATTATGTTCTTGTTTAAATTGTTTAACTTTGAACTTTATTTACTGTAGATTTTTACAGCCAGTAACGGCAGTACGGGATTTTGATTATTAAATCTCTTTTTCAACCTTATAATCAAATATTTTAATCCATTGTTGATTGTTCTGTATTGACTTATTATATATTTTCTAATTCGATATACATGATTTTTACTTTACACTGATGTTTCACTTGAATATTTGTGTCTCTTGATAACAATTACAATTTCTGCTGAAGATTGTTCTTTGATCTTAGAATCAATTTAAAACAAAATATTAAAAATTAACCATTACAGTGTGCACAGCTCAATTGAAGTTTCAAAATGCAATATAACATAAAGCCATTGTTACTATTTGGTTTGGGGTTCTGGGACCACCACCAATCAATTTCTTGTCATATTTAAGTACAGAAATAGCTACCTATATCGCCTAGAAACCTCAGAGGAAAGATTTAAATTTTCCCGATTTTCCCGATATAAGGGTTAATGATGAATGAGGCCAAAATCGGAATCGGAAAAATCGGGTTGGACCCCCCCCCCCCCCCCCCCCAACAGTTTAAAGAGTTTGGTCTCTGCACTACCCCGAAGACAAACTTTTAAAAATTTTACGAACCTTGATAGCATTCGCCATAATTATCAACAAGAAACAAAACAGCTGGCAGAAAGAAGTAGAACTTCTCATATCAAACACATCTTAGCAAACAGCATGATACAAAGTATGTGATCACCTCGTGTCATAAACTGAATTTTTACTATTAAGAGTTAATATTAAGTGATATTAAGAATTAAACTTTTTTTAATCTACCTGCAAATTCGATCTTATTATCCAGTACAGACTGCAGCAGGCCCTGCGTGTTACGGACGCGGTAAAGTTAAACACATTTAAATCAGAATCTGTTTTTCATTTTTAATGTTTTTAATGTCACCGCCTGGAATTATTTTGTACTATGCAATCTTTATCTATTGTTAGAATTTGATTTGAACAAGATATAGTGACTATGATAATTTAAGATATTGATTGAATGCAGCTTATTGACGATCGTGCAGCTTATTGACGATCGTGAGGTAACGATGGTTGATTAAATTTAAATTCATCACGCTTGGCTTGAGAACGTTGAATATCCCTATTCACAAAATTGAAAATAATACATAAATTATTGAAAGGATTCTTAATCCTAAGATAAAGAATTCGATTAGATAGTTAGATATATCAAGCACATGAGTTTGCTTCAGTGATCAGTTCGTTGCAAATATTAAATTCGCCAAGTAACAGATCTTAAATTCATGTTGCAAAATTATAGGTTTCTAAACTAACTTTTTAATTACCTACATGGCGATTCGTGATTTATTTATAACGATAATTTCACTTTCTTAAAGTTTAAATAAAAGATAATTCAATTTCTAATTTAAAGTGGGTAGAAATATTAAATCAAAAGTGTTTAACATTTTAATGTCCGATCAACCAATCGATGAATACATATCATTTAAATTGGGTAGGATTGCTATTTGAGTATTAGTATTAGCATTAGCAATTAGTGATTGGTCAACTGCACAAGCCCATGTTTATTTATAGATTACCTTAATTCCCAAAAATTTGGGCGACAAAAAATTTGAGCGGGCCTCTCGCCCAAATTTTTTGCAGACCAAATTAATTGCATAATAATTGCTGTACGGCAAGTTAAACAAGGATCTGAAACTACTAGGTTCCGTACAGACTCAACTCTGCACCCGTGTCAATATGTTCATTATATGCAAGCCTCTTGATTTATAATCACCGAGTCTAGTAATTGTTTAAGAGAGTTCTCTGGCAGTTACGAACCTCGAGAGACTGTGGGATACTGAAGGGAAAGGAAGCAGTTCTAACGAGCTCTTCTCAAACACAAGGATATATTCTTGTGAACTCGGCTAGTATATATGAAGCATTTGTCATGGAGTTGTAGAGGGAGTTATGTGCCTCGCCGGGCTAAAGTAGAGGATGACCTTGCTGTACGGCAAGTTAAACAAGGATCTGAAACTACTAGGTTCCGTACAGACTCAACTCTGCACCCGTGTCAATATGTTCATTATATGCAAGCCTCTTGATTTATAAATCTTTTCCGTCTGCTAAATTTTTTGCTAACCAAACTTTTGGCATTTGGCCTGTGGCCCTGAAATCTATAGAAAGATGGCTTTTTCTTCATATCCAAGCGGGGGGGGGGGGGGGGGGGGATCAGGTACCAAGTGCCGGACATCACGTCGACTAAGTGTAGTTTTGGATATTTTTCACTAGACCCACCCACCCCCTTTGCGGTACTAACTGTTTTTTTGGATAATACGTAAGACACCCACCCCTTTTGCCGCCTTTTGCGGTACTAACTGTCGAAAAATCGTGGTACTAACTGTTTTTTGGTATATAGAATAAGATACCCACCCATAAATTGCTTTAAACAGCTCATTAAACATTGGAAATGGGAAAATTATACCCACTATTTAGTAGGGGTTTTGTTTTCAATGTCGTCGAATTAGCTAAAAAGTTACACAAAAAATTTTAAAATTACAAAAAACCCAAAAAAAAACTCAAAAAAACCTCAAAACCCATTCCCAAAATTGAAATTTGAGGTAAAATGGTTTTTTTTGGGGTTGGACACCCAAAAAATTAACCCCTTAGTACCATGTACTAATTGTTTTCCTGGAAAATGGGCAGTAGACCCACCAGTTAGTACCATGTACTAACTGTGTTTTTGGGAGAAAAAATGACCCACCCACCACCGTCATGTCCGGTACTAAGTGTATGATCCCCCCCGATCCAAGTGAAATAATATTTAAAATTTTAGTTTTCCAATTCTGCTTAAAATTGAAAGCAAAATGACTGGAATAATAAGGAATAATAATGAACTAAGGCAAATATCTAACTGAAATTTTAGTGGAAAATCGTTCATTTTTGAAGAATTTGTGCCCAAATTTTCGGTCGCCCAAATGAATTCAAATTTTCTGCCCAAATTTTTCGGGCTCAAATAAATTGTGCTCAATATAATGGCACACAAATTTTTGGGAACTAAGGTAAAACTTTAACAATTCTTGTTTTACCAGGATCAAGCATCACATGGTATGTACGGCCACCCAGCTATCACAAAGTTTAATTAAGTTGCGCACGAATCGGAGTACAAAGTTGCATGAGATTGTCACATATTTCCCTCGCTCTATTTTGACGAGCGCGCTAATATATAACTCACTCTAATTAAATATAGAACTCACTCTAAACTTGATATTCGAGATTTTTCTAAAAGGGCCCCCGACAGTTAGCTGGAACCATCCAGAAACAATGTATTTTCGGACGCTGATTCCGAATCACCCCATACCGAATCACCCCATTCCGAATCACCCCATACCATGACATAGGGTTAAAATGCTCCCCTGGCGAGATATTATTATTGGCGAAAAAACTGTCTCGATAACGTGATATGACCGTATAAGGAAGTTGGTCTGATTTCTCGTTATGGTTAGGGTTTCACTTTCAGCATATGATTATGCTTTTGTTAGGGATTGGGTTCGGGTAAGGATCAGATTGAGATTAGAGGATTGGGGTTTAGAATAGTCGTTCAGGGCCAGCTATAATTATAGAGAACGGGTTGAAAAAGTCACGTGACAGTCGAGTGTAGAGTGATTAATCATCACCCCTATTTTGATCAGGGCTTATTATGGGATTGGTCAACAATATTGTTTAAATTGAATAAAACCGCGCTGGCGTGCTTACCTTTCTCGTCAGACCCATTATTCAACCTTTTCTGAGTGCCAGCACAGGTGCAAAACACTTTGGTTTCATATTATCTTTCTGGATGAGAGCTGACTTATTATAGATTTATAATTCTCTCGTGACTCTTATAAATTCACTGTAAATAACATTATTAGCATTAACGTTACTTTTTCACATTTTATGACCGCATACAACTTTAAGTATAATTTTATTTTTAACTAGATGCTAGGATTGGCTTACACATGTCTATATGCAGCTGCTAACTTTGCCCTTGAAATACCTGTAGTTGTACAAAGGGAAGCCATTCCATAACCATTCGATATCCTGTGTTTGTTATCGAGTTTTTAATTCCGTTTAAAAAAGATCGTTTAAATTTGAAGCTGGAAAATAATTGAGTGATGAAGCCTGGACAGAAGACAGCGAATTCTAGTTTTTTGCTATCTGATGCTAGCTGCACTGAATCCTCGGACGGTGAGGGCCACTTTTGCCAGCATATTTCCCCCAAAAGTGTGATGATTTATGTGTCCAAATCTAATCATATGCCGTGTACGGAAAATTATTATTAAAGTATTCCAATTCCAGGCGGCTGCGGAGCTAGGAATGTAAAACCGTCGGACGATGTTACTCGACTTATCATCGAAGGATTGAAGCATAACGGAGCAACACTTCCCGCATCCTTCGCTCCGTTTGTCGACAAGTCAAAGATAGGCTCACTTCCAATGACTCCAGCTAATCAGCCAGTCGTTGGTTACAGATTAGGAACAATGGCCCCAAAAACTAAGAAAGTTACTAAGGTCGCAGGAAACAGACGTAAGAAATGTCCTAAGAAAAGGAGACAAGTCATCAAACCGCCTCCTCCAGAATCATCGGATAGCGAGTCCGCTATTGTGATAGGTTCCGAATCAGAAAAAATTTCTGATGATACTTCAACGTCTGGACAACTTGTCTCTTCGAGTGCTAGTATGAAGAACAATGAAAATAACAAGAAATTGGAAAAATTGTCCGTCGCTAATGGCAATGCTAACGTAGTATTGGGACAAAAAACGAAGTTGTGATTTTACGAACTAAAGTAGTTGAATCATTCGGCTTAGTTTTGACAGTTTAGCAGTTAGCTCTTAAAGTTTAATTAATTATAATGTTGGAGGTATTCAAAAGAGCAACATTTAACTTGTTCATACCGATATTCATATACTATTATTAACAGTAACAGCCAACTGTGGTTAAACGGTGACAAAACGGTTACAGATTACTTTAAAACCAACAAATATTAATATCAAGAAAGTGATTTAATGTAATTGGAGCTCAAAATATATCATTAAATTAGAAAATATCATTTAATTACGTCGCCAAATCTCATAAAAAGACAGTGCTAATAAAACTGATACTTGACAACACTCCAGCATCCTAGCAACGACATTGAAAGTGCTGGAACACGAAGCAAGAGTGAAAGTGTGGTTAAAATATTTACGTTACAGTAAAATATTATCAGGAATATTCATTATTTAGGTATTTTATCATTATGAACACTCCTCCTAGTTGCACACCATCATATATGCATTTGAAATAGCGGACTAATCAATAACTAGGTAACGGCAATAAATGTTATATAATTTATGTTGTGCTCTAACTCTAAAATTCTTGACTATAAATACAGCTACTATGTCTATAGTTAGTTATTCAATTATGGAATTTTTATATTTAGGCTTGATCGAACAGCGAGGATCAGGATTCAGGGGGTCCGGTCATTATTTCAGTTCACACACGAAACTGAATTGTATGGTCATATCAACCCGGCCGGCCTACAATTGCCAATTATTTTGAACGACCTGGCCTCTTTGTCAATTGTCAGTGGCGTAACGTTGCCTGTTGGCCCCCCCCCCCCCCCGCCGAAAAAGGGCCCCTCCCTTTTCGACGCCCCTTTTAAGAAGATTTTACACCAGTAAAAGTGTGTTTCTAGAGCAAATCGCGCAGTTTTGCTAGTACCTCAGTTAAGCTGTTCAAAATTGTCAC